GTCCCCGTCGCCGTTGTCGCCCTTGTCGTTCTCGTCGTCCATGTCCTCGTCGTTCCCGTCCTCGTCGTCCCCGTCCTCGTCGTCCCCGTCATCGTCTTCCTCGTCGCCCTCGTCATCATCCTCGTCGTCGTCGGTTCTCGGTTATCGTCGTCGTCGTCCTCGTCGTCGCCCTCGTCATCGTCGGATCTCGTTTACCGTCGTCGTTCTCGTTCTCGTTCTCGTCGTCGTCGTCGTCGTTCTCGTTCTCGTCGTCGTCGTGGTCGTTGTCGTCGTCGTTGTTTATGGCTTGATCGTCCATGTCGTCGTCGTCGCGTCCATGGCATCGTCCTCGTCGTCGGCCTCATCGTCGTCGTCGTCGGCCTCATCGTCGTCGTCCTCGTCGTCGTCGTCGTCGTCGTCGTCCATGTGCTCGTCCTCGTCATCATCGTCATGGCGGTGGTCGTCGCTGGAGGCGAGGAGCCTCCGGCCGAGAAGCCACGGAGGCAGGCTGCACCGCAGCGCACGCTCAGGGACCTCCTGGGCCTCTCGGGGTCTGGCCGCCGAGCTCCTCGAGCAGGCCTCTCGGGTGCCTCCTGGAGGGCAGCCGGCGGTCCGCGAGACGTCCTGGGCGGCTTGTCGGCCTCTGCACGGGGGGCAGCTGCCGGGCCCCGGGGCCGTCGAGAGGCGACTCGAGGACGAGGAGCCTCGTCCTCGTCCTCCCTGTCCGCGTCGTCGTCGTCGGGGGCCTCGGAGGGCCTCGGAGGGCCTCCGGACGCTCTACCGTGGTCGTCGTCGTCGCCGTCGTCGTCGTCGCCGTCGTCGTCGTCCTCGTCGTCGTCCTCGTCCTCGTCCTCGTCCTACCCCCCTCCTCAGCCTCGTCCTCGTCGTCCTCGTCGTCGTCGTCCCCGTCCTCGTCTCGTCCCTGTCGTCGTCCTTGTCGTCGTCGTTGCATCGTCGTCGTCGTCGTCGTCTTTGCGTCGTCGTCGTTGCGTCGTCGTCGTCGTCGTCGTCGTCGTCGTCGTCGTCGTCGTCGCCGAGGGCCTCGAAGGGCCTCTGGACGCCTCCCGAGGTTGCGGAGACCTCCTGAGGACTCGGGAGACCTCCAGAGGCTGTCAGAGGCGGCCGCCATCGTCGTCGTCGTCGTCGTCGCCGTCGTCTTCGTCCTGCTCGTCGTCGTCCTCGTCCTCGTCGTCGTCCCCATCCTCCCATCCTCGTCCTCGTCGTCTTCCTCGTCCTCGTCCTCTTAGTCCTCTTCCGTTGTCGTCGTCCCCGTCCCCGTCCTTGGTCTTGTTCTCGTCGTTGTCGTTTGTTATCATCGTTGTCGTCGTCGTCTGGCGCTCGTGCGTCGTCGTCGTCTTGTAAACAGGTGTGCATGATAGATAATGTTTGTGGTGCACGATGGTGCAAGTGCGCACTGCGCAGTACATAGGCGCTGTGGTGCACGCGGCTGCGGCGGTGAACGCTGTGCTGCACTAAGGTGCTTGCTGAGATGCGCATGGACGCATTGGTGCCAGAACCACACGGCAGGGGGGGGGGGGCGTGCCCGTCATGGCCGCGGATAAGTTTGTGGGGCCGGTCCGTCGGACTGCCGACGGTGCGCGCTCGCTCGCTCGCTCGGTCCCCGATCCCTTCTTCTTGAGAAAAGGAACGCAGCTAGTTTGCCATTCGACAGGATTCCCGCCGCAGAGGGGTGGTGTCGTACAACGCGCGTGCGCCAGTCTCGGAGCTCCAGTGGTGGGCACGCAGCACGGGAAGCGGGCGCCTGACCTTGGATCAGGGTCAAGGTCATCGCCGCCGTGAAAGCCAGGAGGTGGGACAGCCGCGCTATAGGCCGCCTGCCGTTCTCTCGCGAAGTCCATCGGCTGCCCAGCGACCTCGCGATCTCCTCCAGCATATGCGGCTCCTCGTCCATCCTGGAGGCCGCATACTCAAGGTCGTCTACCACCTTCCTGGCCCACGGGGATTTGTAATCTTCCCGTCGACCTCCTGCTCGCCAGGGGGTTTGAGCCATTGCCTGCAATCGTTGCCTCCCTCCCCGCTCAAGTGCAGCAAGGTTTCCTGCCTGTCCCGGCTCTGCATGCAGCCGAACGGGAGGAGGGCGCGGTCGAGCTCGTCATCCATCCTTTTCAGCCTTCGGGCGGCATCTCGGATCCTCAAGCCAGCCTCGAAGAGGACACTTCTCCCCGAGTGGTCCGCGTTCTTGCAGACAGATGCAGCCACGTGCAAGTGCTTCCATTCTACTGCCAGTAGTTTGGGCGTGGGGGGTCCCCCTCCCAGACGGCGTCCGCGCAATTCCCGACGGAGAGCTGGAAATTCTCCACGAAGCTCTCCACTATGAATGTGCCTCCCATGACGCCACCCGTGCCCGTCTTCATCAGGAGGTCCCCTTCGCTGGTGCCAATCGAGACGACAGAGTACCTGTACCTTGGCACGCACTAGTTGTAGTCGCATGGCTGAGTATCTCTTTCCACCACGTGGCTCAGCACGACCCAGTCGCTGCTGCCGAATTCGGCGGCCATGTCCTTGAGCGTGACGCCGTAGGACCAGCCCGCCTTTCCTGCGCACCAAGTGACGTCGACGAGGACTGCTCCCTCTCTCCGTCGGCCTGGAGCGAAACGTGGCTCTGGGCCGCGGGCACGGGGCTCAAACGCTCGGCGTAGCACGCCCTGCCCATCGTGGGCAGGCCATGGGACCGCTGTCCTGCCGCGGGCCCACTCCATATTGTTCTTGAACAAACCAATGCCCATATTCTTATGACAATAGGGGGGGCCTGCTGCTCCACTCTCACGAGGCAGAGGCCGAGCGCCGGGGGCGCCGTCGAAGTTCGGCAGCATCGGGGGAGCGATCTCGCTTCTGCACCGCCCCGGAGCTTGTCCAAGTCAGCCTTCGTGGACGGTCACATGTCCCACAGCTCCATCGGGGCCGTGCGACGGGGCACCACCTTGCGCTTCTTGCTCTGTCCTGGCGTGGTGCCGCAGCGCCTCCCGATCCGCCTCCGCCAACTCCAGGGCCCCAGGGGCGGTGCGGTCCACGGGCAGCACTTGATCATGAGCGGGGTCAAAGTCATGGCCGTCATGACCGCCACACGACCTCGCCGTTGTGAGAAGCTCGCTGCTCCGCAACCCAGCTCTGCCGTTCCACCTTTTGTACTCTCCATGCCTCCTTCAGCGCCGTCCAGCTGCCAGACGTCCAAGCACTGCGGCTTGGTGAGCGGGGCGGCGCCCAGGCGGCGGCCGTCATGCTTCTTCGGGGCGTAGCGGCATCTCGCCGCTCTCCGATACAGGGCTGCTGCCTCTGCCATCCTGCGATGGTCCCACACCTCGCTGATCTGCGCGATGTAACTCTCAAGTTGGTCACCTGCGCCCGCCCGAGTTCGCGTGGAAGTGCGCGGGACACGTGCCTCAGCTGCTCCCCCACTCTCTTCAACAGCTCGACTTCTGTGCATGCCGATCTGCATTCACGAAGGAGCGCCTGTTCTTCCAGTCTTCGTCGACGCTCAGCGCACTGATCACTCCACTGCGGTGGTCTGCCAGGGGCCTCTGCGAACAACTGTTGTCCGACACCGAGTCGGAGCTGCTCCAAGGCCTCGAACATTCTATCCTTGGAGCTCTAGCGGAACAGGGCCTCACGGTGGATGGCGTCCTTCATCATCTGGGAGTCCATGGCCGCTAGGAACTCGAGTTTCTTCTCCCCGCGGCGGACGGCCTCCATCATCGTGTTCTTTTCCAGTCTTGGTTGCCGTACCTGCGGCTCGATGTCCTCGCCTTCCTTGTAGTTCCCGAGTTTGAGGAGGAGGAGGTGGAGGAGGAGGACGAGGAGGAGGAGGAGGAGGAGGAGGAGGAGGAGGAGGAGGAGGAGGAGGAGGAGTGAGGAGTGAGGAGGAGTGAGGAGGAGGAGGAGGAGGAGGAGGAGGAGGAGGAGGAGGAGGAGGAAGTTGCGGGATGTGGTCTTCAGGGTGCCAGCCGCGCAGAGCTCTCGAAAGTCCGAGCTGCAGCAAATGCCAAGCCATGGCACGGGACCACCCAGTCCGGCGCTCCCGCGGGCCCGAGCAGGTCCTCGATCACGGAGCCTGCTCCATCGGAGCTGTGGTACGTGTAGTAACACCCGCCGCCCATGTAGTCTCGGGGGTGGATAGAAGCCCCCCCCGGACACGTCGATTAGTGGATTGTCCGTTTTCGGTTCTCGAGAGGATTCCGCGGCCGTCATTTTGCAGGTTTGCGCCCGCCAGGTTTGGGCACAAGGTCGTTTCCACTAAACCGCGTGTTACTAAAGGGAGTTCTGTCCATCCCCGAGAGTTACACGCCATATTCTGTTCTGGCGTAATCTTTCGAACGAGTTCTTCGACCCCCAGCAGTCGGCGTTCCCCGAACACATTCCGTCCTGCTCGATTTTGCTCCACGTCTTTTTCTGGCGGGCCAGGCCGACGCCGTCATTGGCGTCGAATAGAACGCTTAGTGTGCATCGTGCAGGTAATGCCTCGAGGACTCCCTGCCACCACTGAGTCAACTTCTTCACCGTCGCATGGTACAGCTGAACCTGCTCGGCCTTGGACGGCTGCGGCGACATGTACACGGCCCCGACGCAGATGTCCAGGGGACCTCGCTTAACCCTCGCGGCGAGAACCCACCCCCACAGTCCAGCAGACGTACGATGCACTTGCTTCTCTCGAACACCTGCACCGAGGGCCACCGCGCAGCCTGTTGCTGCCGTGGTGTGGTGTCCAGCCTGGTAAACTGCCCCGAAGGCGGTGCGTCCCTCCAGGCGCATGACGAGCACCTCGTCGCCTTGCCTCGCACACGCAATGGTGCCGCACAGCAGCAGGGCGTCTACATCCCTCGTCTCCCTCAGCAGCTCCACCATCCGCGTGCTCGTGGCCGAGTGCGGGTTGTAGCCCATGACTTATGACGGGCAAGAGGCGGGAGGAAGCCATCGGCAGGGGCCGCCTCGCCACCTGGGGCGAAGGGTGGGTGATCCCCAGGAGGCGTTCTGTATGTATGGGGCCATTCAGGTGTCCCTCAAGCATGGATGAGGAGAATGGCTGGAGGGCGGAGGAGGAAGATGAGGAGGAAGAGGAGGAGGACCAGTGGAAACCCAAGAGTCATCAAGGATGTTGGAATTTACCCTCCCTCCAAGCTTCCTCTTCATATGCCCCTACAACGGTTCATTTCCATTGAGGGAACTGCCTCGTTGGAAGACAACATATTGACGATCCTGAAGCGTGCCAAACCATTGTTCTCGGGATTTCAGCGCCACGTGTCAACCTGACTGCTGCGCCTCGACGATCCAGAATCGTGCCAGATCGCAAATTGTGAGGCTCAAACACAGCGAATCAACATAATTGTTGCGCCCGCATAGCCCTGAATCCTTTCAAAACACCACTTCTGGTGCGTTGATCATGGAAACCCGTGAAACTCCTTGCATGTGTTTAAACGAAATGGCGCGGCGTTATGGCGAGAGCCACATTTTGAAAGGGAGCCGCCCTCAATCCGTGAAATTCTTGCAAATGATTTAAACGAATGTGCGCGGCGCTAAGGCGAGAACCACATTTTGAAAAGGAACCGCCCTCAGCCCGTGAAATTCTTGCAAACGTTGCAAAAGGGTGCTAAGGCGAGAGCCACATTTTGAAAAGGAGCCGCCCTGTATCCTTGAAGCTCTTGCAAATATTAAAACGAATGTGAGCGGCGCTCAGGCGAGAGCCACATGTTGAAAATCACCCGCCCTCAATCCGTGAAACTCTTGCAAATGTTTCATGCGAATGGGCGCGACGCTAAGGCGAGAGCCACATTTTGACAGCCATCCGCCCTCAACCCGTAAAACTCTTGCAAATGTCTAAAATGAATGTGCTCGGCGCTAAGGCGAAAGCCACATTTTGAATAAGCTTCAGAGTCATTCATGGTGAGGAAGTCTCAGGCGTAACGCCCGGCCCGCCCAAAAAACTTGCCTCGGGGTGCGACAGGGAAGATCTATCTATTATGAGAAGGAATGGAGGAGGAGGCGGAGGAGGAGGAGGAGTACGAGGAGGAGGGGGGGGAGGGAGAGGGGGAGGGGGAGGGGGAGGGGGAGGAGGAGAAGGAGGAGGAGGAGGAGGAGGAGGAGGAGGGGGGAGGAGGAGGAAGAGGAGGAGGAAGAGGAGGAGGAGGAGGAGGAGGAAGAGGAGGAGGAGGAGGAGTAGGAGAAGGAGGAGGAGGAGGAGTGAGGAGGAGTGAGGAGGAGGACGATGAGGAGGAGGAGGAAGAGAGAAGGGCGTATTCGTCGTCTTCGTCGTCTTCGTCGCTGTCGTCGTCGCTGTCTTCGTCGTTGTCGTCATCGTCGTCGTCGTCGTGTTCGTCGTCGTTACCGCCGTCATCCTTGTCGTTTTCCTCGGCGGCGTCGTCGTCGTCGCCGTGACCGTCGGGATCGCCGTGGCCGCCGTGGCCGTGGGGGCCCGCCAGGAGAGCCAGTCGCTGTTCCCGGAGCCGGTGGTGCTGTCGTGGACGAGGCAGACCCTGGAGGGGCTGAAGCTGCTCCACGGCCAGGCGCGCCGGCAGCGCCCCCTTGCACAGCCCGCACCGCCGCACCGCCACCTGTTCCTGTAGCGGGGCCTTCCTGTACAGCGGGCCGCGCCTGGCCAGGCGGGGAGGAGGGCCCGGGCTTCCCGCGTCGCCACACGATCGCGACGGACGGTTGCCGACGACTGCGTGCCTCAACCGGGGCGGCGAGCGAGGGGGGGAAGCGAGAAGGACCAGGCCTTCTCGGGTGGCGGGGCTTCTCAGAAGCCATCGCGCCTGCTGACAGCTTCTTTTCGGCGTCTTCGGGGAAGGCTTGCTCACATAACCTCTTGGAAGTCCCGCGGCTTTCCGAGCATTCTGAGAAGGCTCGCCTCTTCTCGCTCCCCCAGGCTAGCGCCATCAATCGCGACGGAGGGTTGTCGACTATTTTTTGCCTCACCTGGCCCCGGACTGTCAAAAGACGACTCCTGACGAGACGCCAGTCCCAGAGAAGTGGCCCAAGCCTCTGGGGGCCCACGTCGTCAGAAGATCACGACGTCGGAGGCTTGTGCAGGCGGGGGAGCAGGGCGACGGGAGAGGAGCGAGGGAGTGTGAGGTAGAGGTGTAGGATGGCGGAGGAGGCGGGAGGAGGGAGGTTCCAGGGTCGAGGACGAGGACGAGGAGAGAGTTGGGGGACAGGCGGGAGGGGGATGGACGAGGAGCCCTGGGCCCTCCTCCCCGCCCCCCGCCCGCTGGACCCGGGGCTTCCGCCCCGCTCCCCCCCCCCGGGGGACCCGCCCCCGCGCGCGCGCTTGCGCTCCCCAGGGCGTGGTCCACCGCGACCTCAAGAGCTCCAACATCTTCCTCTGCCAAGGCCCCCGCGGTCGGTCGCAGGGCGACCGGGGCCGGCGTCGCGGCGCCGGGCCGGCCGGGCCTCCTCGGGGCCCCGGGGCCGTCCGGAGCGGTGCTCGAGCGGGAGAGGGTGCCACGGCGTCGGGAGTCGAGTACACTGTAGGCGCTGCTTAAGAAAACCTGAATTTTCGTCCAGAGTCTCGATTATTCTTAAGCTTTCAATGTAAATCCCACGAATTTGATAGAAATGTTGGGTTTTTATTCAAGTTCTGAGACTATGAATTTCTTAACCCATGATTTCTTAAGCATTTCGCAGGGTGTATACCCATCGGTCGTTGAGAGTGGGTAGGTTTGGCCTCCCAGATTCCCGTCTGCTGGAAGCGCCTTCCCACTTCATGCTCGAGTGGCCTCACCTCTTCCGTGCTCTTTGGGGGGCGGACGGAACCCAATCCACTTTCTCCGCCGTCCTACGTCATGTTTCTACCTCCTGCTTCGTCCCACCGATGGGTAGTGGGGGGGTGATGAACGGGGGGGGGGCGAGGAGAGGTGCATATCCTGTGCCCGAGAGGGGCCCTGAGGGGCCCCCTGGGGCCAACAACAGGGGCAGGAGAGGTGCACGTTTCTCCCCCCCACCCCCCCATGCCTCGCCCGGCGGCTGGACCCCGTCTGAGTTGCATGTGCTCGTCTGTGAGACCTCTGTGGGGCCCAGCTGACGGACCTTTTCGGCGCTGGTCCGACTCTGGGTCGACTGGCTCGGCTCAAGTGCGACCGACATCGACGTCGAAGAAGAAGAAGAAGAAGAAACCACGAACACATAATCTTTAGGCGCTCCGCGCGGATTTCTTGGATCCGCGCCTGGGCCCCCCGGCGGCGCCGCTGGCGCCGCCTCTGACGCGCTCCGCGCGCCAGGGAGGGGAGCGCAGATCCAAGAAATCAGTGCGGAGCTTCAAGAGGGTATGTGTATGCCGTTTTCCATCTTCTGAGGAAGGTCCCAAGGACGAGCATCTAGTGTGAGGGCTTCGGGGGTAGATTTGAGCGGATTCTGATCGGGACGGGGGCCCGCGTGACGGAGTCCCCTTCAACGCGGCTGTTGGCCCCGCGCAGACGGGGGCAGGGAGAGGCGGGAAGGCTTTGCAGGAGCACCCCTGCTTCTTAGAAGGCGCGGGCCTTGTCTGTAGATGTAGGGCCCGCGCTTTCCAAGACAACGCCCCGCCGCCGGGCTCCTTCCTCCAATCATGGGCGCCTCCCAGAACCAGGAAGCGCCAGGAAAACCAGCAACGTGAGCTGATGTGCTACCCTACCGTTTGCTGTCCTACCCTTTCGTCGCCCCCGGGGTTAGCGTCACCCCGGTTACGGCAGGCTGGCATCGTGTCGACGCGGTGGCGACCCCGCCGCGGAAGGTTGAAAGCCGCCAGTGGTCCAGAGTTGGCCGATACATGGAACGAGCTTGCCATCGCAAAGCCGCCGATCGTGCCTGGGTAAACGATCCACGTGGAGTCAGAGCTCGTCGCCGATGTCGTCGCCACACGGACCCGTCGTGGCGCCGCAGGCCGTCCCCGTGGTGGAGGGAGAAGGGGGAGGTCCAGCTCCAGCTATCGTTAAGTCGGGCATGTCCCTCTACAGGAGGAATGTTCAAGAATGGTGGAACATAATCAGGTGACGTTTTTTTTCTATTGACACAAGAAAACATAGTGTCTTTGAGTATGTTTGACTGTCTGTGATCTATCTTCTAAGATCCGCCTGCCGGGGGACATGCCCGACCTAGAGCTATCGCAGGTAACGCGTCACAGCGCGTGCCGCACAGCCGCGGCGGAGGGAGGGAGGAAGGAGGGAGGTGGCGGGAGGGAGGGGGCCATCGCCAAAGACATACACGTTCGCCCCTGGTTATGCCGCCTGGGAATCGCGGGGGTAGTCGCAGCGGGAAGCGGGGCCCTTGACAGCCCACTCGTCGGCCTGCTCCTTATGGCCGCTTGCTTCTGGCCAGCTTTCCCGGGCGCAGAGCTCGACGGGGGGGCGGCGCCGCCGCCAGCCCCGCACCCGCAAGCCAGGCCGCCGTCGGGACGGGACGCCCTGGTCACCACTTGGGCCGTGGACGCGCTGCGCACAAGGCGGGCGTGCCTCTGCAGGGCGGCCGGGTGCGGGGGCCGCATCGAGAAGGGCGAGCTGCGCGTGTTCAACCCAGGCCAAGTGAACAAGCTGTACTACCACCCGCGTTGCGTTGAAGGTGGTTTGGGCCCTTTCGACCAGCTGGCGGGCGCCGCGGCACTTCCGCAGGAGCAGGCGGACGCCTTGCGCGCACACTGCGACCAGGCAGGCCGGACTACTAGGGCGCAGTACGTCGAGGACACGCGGCGGGCTAAGCGCCTTCGAGCAGACCCCGAGCGACACCAACAAGAAACCGCCCGCGGCGCTCCCCTCCTTGGTGCAGACGACGGGAGGCCCGACGACTTGCCAGAGGAACCCGGGGAGGGCGTGCAGCAACCGAGGAACCTAGCGTGGTGGGACAACGTCGAGTACGAAGAACTCCGACACCACGTGGCTACTGAGCTACATGTCCCGGACGCGGTGGGCAGTGCGTTTGCGCAGCTCCGAGGGCACGTCGCGCAACGACTCTTGCAGGCAGCCGAAAGCGGGGACGCGACAACCCTCCAACGGGCCGAGAAACTTTTCACCTTCTTCGACAGGGTCCTGTTCTTCAAGCCCGGCAAGACCAGAGGGGGGAGGAAGGCTGGGAAGAACAGAGGCGGCCGGGCCGCGATCTTCACGAGGCGCCTGCGGCTCGCGGAAGCTGGAGATTGGGGGGCGCTCTGGAGAGAGGCGCACACCGAGGCGGGAGCCGGACCGGCGCGAGCTCGGCGCGCTGACTCGCCCGCGAAAGTCGCCAGAGCAGTGGAAGCTCTCGCCGGCGAAGGCCTGGTCAGCAAGGCCATGACTCGTGGTTTCCGGCCGGCCACTGTGGCCACGGGCGAAGATGTTCTCGCCGACCTGCAGGCGCTCTTCCCCGCAGGAGCGGCCCCGCCAGCAGCTGCCGACCTCGCGCTCCCGGGCGCGGACACCAACGACGACCTGGTCACGGCAGTTAAGCGCCACCTCGCCCGCAGCCCGCGGATGTCTGGACCTGGGCCCAACGGGGGGCGCTTCGAACACTGGCGCACTCTCCTGAAGGACTCGGAAGCACTCGACGCCGTCGCTAAAGTAACGGTCCTCTTTCTGTACGGCCTGCTATCCCCGCAGGCCATGCGGGCGAACCTCGGCACGCGGCTGGTGGCTCTCCGCAAGCGCAACGGGGGAGTCCGGCCCATTGCGTGCGGGAGCGTGCTGCGCCGCCTCGCAGCCAAGGCTGCCTGCGACGTCTTCTCAGATGACATAAAGAGCGCGTGTGGGCCGCACCAGTATGCTGTTGGCAAACCTGGAGGGTGCGAGGTGATGCACAAGTGCATCTCGGCGCTGACGGAGGCGGACCCACGGGCCGTCGTTCTTGCCTTCGACTGCACTAACGCGTACAACAGCCTCCCCAGGCAGCACATCCTCAACGGCGTGCGTGCCAGGGCGCCCGTGCTGCTCAAGGCCGCGCACAGCTGGCTCGGCGGCGAGACCACGCATCTGTTCTGGGACAACAACAACTCTGCTGCGCTCGTGCGGGCCACTAGCGGAGTCGACCAGGGGTGCCCGCTGTCGCCGGCTCTCTTCGCGATCACCGTGGCAGGGGCTCTTGACGCGATCAATGTGAGGCTTCGACAGCTGTCTCCTCAGTGCAGGGTGTTTTCCTACTTGGACGACATCATGGTATTTTCTCCGCCAGAACACGCCACTGCGGCAGCCCAGCTGGTTCCTGAGGAGCTCGCGCGCCTCGGCCTCACCGTCAACCCCGCAAAGACGCAGGCCTGGACGGCGGACCCGCAAGCCCCCCTCCCGCCTGGCATCAGTGCCCACCGCGCTGCGAACTTGCAGTGCCTCGGGAATGCCGCGCCCTGGCTGGAGCAACAAGAAGACAGGGTTCTGGTGCACGCTGGGGCAGACGGCGCCGCCGCTGTGAGCCGGGCTCGGGAATTTACCGCTCGGCTCCAGGAGCTGCGAGCCGCTGGTTTGACGGCCGAGACGTTCTACACGCTGCTGCGCACGTACGGCCAGGGATGCGTCACGCACCACCTCCGGGCGAATCTGCAGACCGGATGGGTCGGGGAGCTCGACAACGTGCTGTTCGCGGCTCTTGAGCACCTCCTCCAGGATCCCCTCAATGACGCGCAGCGCCTCCGGGCCACGCTCCGCCTCCCGGACGGGGGATGCGCATTCCCTTCCGCTTCCCAGACAGCTCCGGCCGCCTACGCCGCAAGCTGGGCCCTCTGCCTCCACGACGTGGCCGCCTGCTTAGGGATCAGCACCAGGGAGGAACTCGACGCCCGCTGTCCGCGCACCCTCACGGCGCTGTCCCAGGCGGAAAGGGCGCTCCGGGAAGCTGGGGCCTTGGGGGACGAGCCGCTGAACTTGCTGGACTACTTGCGGGAGCCGCACCACAAACGCCAGGGGCGCTGGGGCAAAGCTGCCTAGGAGGCCAACAAGAAGCGGCTCCTGGATACGCTGCTGGACGAGGACGGCCGCCTCTCTCTGTTGTCGAACGGCGGCACCGGGGCGGGCTCGTTCCTGTTGCCCCGGGGCGCTGGGGACGCTGCGCAGCCGGACAAGCATTTCCTCGTGAACTTGAAGATGCGGCTCGACATGCCCGTCTGCCCAGAGGGGGCTCGGTGCCAACACAAGTGCAAGAGCACCGGGCAGCGGTGCAACGAGCTACTCGACAGGAAGGGTTGGCACGCCAGGGCGTGCGAGGTTGGGGGCTCCCGGACTGGGAGACATAACCGCCTCCGGGACATGCGCGCCAAGCGCCGCGCCGAGCTCACTGGCCACGCGGCCCCAACAGAGCAGCGGATCCCCGCGTGGGACCGGCGCCTCCCTGACGGACGCGTCCAGGAGGCTGTCCTCGACGTCGTCACCATCGACCAAAACACCGGGCACCACATCCACGTGGATTGGGCCGTGACCTGCGCATACTCCACCTATGCCCCGCGCAGGCTGGCCCGGTCCCGGAGGTGTGGCCTCGCGGCGGCCCAGATGGTCGAGGATAAGCGAGCTCGGTACCCCCCGAGGCCCGGCCTGGAGCTCGTCCCCATGGTCTTCGAGGCCGGGGGGCGGCCCTCAGAAGAGGCCGCCGCCTTCGTGCGGAGCTACGGCGGCGGTCTCGGGGACGAGGAGCGCTCGGAGCTCTTGAGCAGTCTCTGGCGGGGGATCTCCGTGACGCTGCACACGGGGAACGCCGAGATGCTTCTGAGTGCGCTTGGGCAGTGAACGCCCGGGCCACGCTTGCTACTACTGCGGCCAGCCTACTGCCCTGACCACCAAGATACGGCCACCACGGCCACCACGACAACCACCTGATTGTCGAACGGTCTCCGTCGCAGACGCCAGGACAACCAGCACGACCGCCGCGACCTCGGCGCCCGCGCAGACCACCGCGGCCGCCGCACCGCCGCCAGTTCGGCGACCAGCTCGACGACGACGCCCCCGCCCCCGCCGCCCCGCGCCGACGCCCTCAGCGTGACGACGGGGACGGCCCGCGCCGACGACGCCCCCGACACGGCGGCGACGCCTCCAGGCCGACAATACGCCGACCCACGCCAGTGCCTTGGCGGCGTCCCCGCCCCCCGCCCCCCGCCTTCCTCCCCCTCCCTTCCCCCTTCCCCGCTGCCCTCCTTCCCTGCCGGCCGGCCGCCCCTGCATGCAGCGCGCAGCCCCCCTCTTCCCTCCTCCTCCTCCTCCTCCTCCTCCTCCTCCTCCTCCTCCTTCGTTTGCCCGTGCAGCCTGCCGCGGTGTCGTGGTTTCTGGCACCCGGGAACCGCCGCTGGCCGTCCCCCCAAGGGCCCAGTTGCTCCCGGGGTGCTTCGGACCTCGCCTCGCCCCCCTTTTCCCCGGGAGGGAGGGAGGAGGGAAGAGGGAGGGAGGAAGGACATGAGGGAGCAGGGAGGAAGGGAGGAGGGAGGAGGGAGGGAGCTGGGAGGGAGGAAGGGGGGAGGGAGGAGGGAGGGAGGGAGCAGGGCTGGAGGAGGCAGGGAGGAGGGAGGGACGAGGGAGGAAGGGAGGGGGGGAGGGAGGGAGGGAGGGAGATATGGGGGGAGGGAGGGAGGGAGGAGGGAAGGCCAGGGCAGGCAGCGTGCGGTGAGAGCGCGGCTCCCTCTGGCAGCGGCGCCCGCCCCTCCGCACCTGCCCCCCATCGGGCCGCGGGCCGCTGCGAGGCAGGAGGAGGATCCTTCGTCTCGGGCGAAGAGAACTATGCACATGCACCGATCCTGGCAAGGCCCATCTTTGACCCAGGATCGGTGCATATGCCTTCCTGGCCAAGGTAGGAGGGCGTATGCACCGATCCTGGGCTCAGGATGGGCCTGGCCAGAATCGGTGCATGTGCATAGTTTTTTTCCTCTATCGTCGAGGATCGGTCTGCGTTTTGTTTCGTGTCGATCGGAGGTGTACGGACCTCCTACCTTGACACGTCGATCGAGGAATGGACCGTTTTCGGTTCGCGAGAGGGCGTCGCGGCCTTCATTTTTGCGGGTCCAGGTCCGTCGGTGTCGGTCCCGGGTCGCTTTCACCAAGGGGAGGTTTACTAAAGGGAGGTTTGTCCACCGCCGATTCGAGCGCTCATGTTTGCTGGAGTTGTGGAGGCGGGGGAGGATCCTTCGTCGAGGATCGGACTGCGTTTTGTTCGTTTCGAGCGCTCATGTGTTGCTGGAGGTGTGGAGAAGGTGGGGGAGGATCCCTGGTCGAGGATCGGTCTGCTTTTGTTCGTTTCGAGCGCCCTGATCTGCGAGTTGTGGAGGCATCCGAGAGGCCTCGCGGCCAGCATCCCCCTCAAAACGGGGCAGCTGCCACGTGCTCAGGCATCTCGAGTTCAGGATCCAGACCAGTTCGGTCAGGACTCAGATGCAAAAGAGCACTCGATCCACAACACCGTAGAGCACAATCGCGGCATGGCACATCACATGTCAGCACGGCGCATCACAGCACAGCCTTTGGCACGGTACATCACGATCGAGACATTCAGCATTACAAGCGCCCGTCGCGCAATCAGGTGTCTTGGAAACGTTGACATGCCTCACATTTCTGTATTCATTTCCAGGTTCGTGGGTCGACCATGCTCTTTGCGAGGACAGTCGAGGAGCATCTTGAAACCATCCCGCGACAGCGCAGCCGACAAGTGCACGGGGAATGCACGTCCGAGCGATGGCACGATGGCAAGCTCGGCGCCCGCCCATGAGCTTACGCTCGACATACGGGAAACCATACGGGCCACCAGACGGGAGACCACACGGGAGACCGCACGGGAGACTCTGCGGTAGACCGCATGGGAGGCCACACGGGAGGCCGCGGGGGCCACACGCAGCCGATTCCGGATCAAGAGGGGGGCCTTTGCCCGGCCTTCGATCATAGAGGAGGAGGAGGAGGAGGAGGAGGAGGAGGAGGAGGAGGAGGAGGAGGAGGAGGAGGAGACTCCGCACCCCCGCCTCCCCCACCGCAACGGCAACGGTCGCACGTAGGGGGGGGGCCTGGTCCGCCCCCCCCGCATGTTTCGGGGGTGGACAGAACCCCCACCCCCGACGCGTCGATCAGTGGAACTTGTGCCTTGTCGGTTCTCGAGGGCGCCTCGGCCGTAGTTCTCCAAGCTTGCCTCCGCCAGGTTTGGGCCCGGGGTCGTTTCCACTAGACCACGTGGCCCTAAATGGGGGTCCTGGTCCATCCCCGCATGCTGGCACTCGCGCGCGTACGGCGGCGATCGCAGTGCATCCCCGCCACGGTGTGCCCCACCCCGCCCCCGGCGTTGCGGTTACCCGGCCTCGCCCGCCCGGGTAACGACCGCTACCGAAACTCAGAACAACAGTTTCAGGGCAGGGAGAACAGGCACAAACACACATGAACGCCAATGTCCGTGAAACTATGGGAGGATAGGGGAAGTGGAGGGGAAGGTAAACGTGTAGAACATGGGATCCCAAAACATGCGGAGTCATGCGATTGCTGTTGTCTATAATCGTAGAAGAAAATACACGCCATACATATGAAGTGTTGGCGCTCCGCGCGGGCTTCCCGGATCTGCGCGGAGCGCGCCGCCCCTGGCGTGCTCCGCGCGGCAGGGAAGGGGGGTCCAGCGCAGCTCCAAAGAAATCCGCGCGGAGCGCCGCCAGTTTCTGTTTATGGCGTCTTTTTTTCGGTTCTACCTTTTTTTTGTTGCCAGCCTCGAGCGTATCCCTATCCCTAAGATTGACACGCCAAATGGCGATGCCAATCTTGGGGATCCGCCCTCAAAAAATGAGGGAACCCCTGAGATTGGCATCGTGACGAGGAGGTGCCCAGCATAGGGATAGGGATATGTTCCAGGCTGGTAATATTGCGAAGGCCTTACGGCCAGTGCCGCCGACCCTGAAGGGCGACGACGACGACGGCGACGGCGACGGCGACGGCGACGACGAGCGCTCTCGGGGGTCTCTTGAGGGTAGTTTTGGGGCCTCTTCGGAGGCTCTTGGGGCCTCTTGGGAGCTTCGTGAGGGCCTCTTGGGGCTTCCTGGGCTGGTAATATTTCAGTGTCCGCAGGCCGCCTCCATCTCTTTGGCCCCCGAGGGGCCCTCGGCGGCCCCGCGGTGCCTCCGCGGCATCCGCGGGGGCGCCCTCCGAAAACAGGCGCCTCCGCGCGGGCGCGCGGGGCGGGCGCCCAGAGGCCGGCGGCGCATCCTCATCGGCGACTTCGGCATCTCCAAGGTGCTGGAGAGGCGGGCCCCCGGCCGCCGCGGGGGCGCTTGCGCGACGGGGCGGAGGGCTCGGGCCGGGCGAAAGGGGGGGATTGGGAAAGGGGGGGTTACGAAATCTGCTGCATGCAGCTGGTTTCGGCCCCACGGAGGGGCCCATTCCTCGATACATAGCTCCATCCGGCGCCGGGAGGCGCCGGGAAAATCAGCTACGTGAGCTGATTCTCAAACCCCCCCTTTGCTATCCCCCCCTTTCGCCCGACCCGAAGGGCGGAGGATCGAGGCTGCAGCAGCGGGGCTTTCGTCATCCTCCCTCCCCATTGTCCCGCCCGCCTTCGCAGGCGAGGAAGAGGTGCCCGTGCCTCTGGCCATCGGTCGTTGAAAGTGTAGGCAGTTTTGGAATCCCAGATTCCAATCTACTTTAAGCGTCTCTTCCTACTTCAATGATCGAGTGGCTTCGCCTTTTCCGTCCTCTTCAGGGGGCGGGCGGACACCTAATCTACTTCCAACGCCTTCCTACTTCATGTTTCTACCTACTTTTTCCGACCGATGGGTACCCTTCGCCCGTCTTCCCCCTTTTTGGGCCTCGTGGGAGGCCCTCGTCGCCACCGCTGGATTCGCCTCGGAATGCTGGTCAGAACGCGCCCCAGGAGAGGTCTGGGGAGTAGCGATATGGGTACCTAATGGTTTCCCCAGCGGGGCCGGCGCGACGAGGCGGAGGGCGGATGATCGAAGCTGCAGCGTCAAGGTTGCCGTCCTTCCTCCCTATCTTCCCTCGGGACGGTGGACATCGATGCGGAAATAATGGGCACAAGGACTAACAGCATTTCCTGTCCTCTAGGCCTCCTAGAGTGGGTCGGAGCAGATGGGGTCGGAGGATCGCGCCGCATCGCGGATGTGTCGACGACGCGTCTCGATGCGGAGCCCGATGTGCTTCACGTCTACGTCGCCATCGCATCGCCGACGTCTTCGATGCATCGCCAGTGCATCGCCGATGTATCGCCGATGCGGCGCGATCCTCCGACCCCATCTACTCCGGCCCCATCTAGGAGGCATCTATGTCTGCTCTGAGCAGACATCGCCGTCGGCGTCGCCGTGGCTGTGGTCCACTAGAGGTAGGGCCCGCCGCCTGCCCGACAGCGGCCGCTGTCGGTTTTGGACAACACCTGTTGTTGGGCATCGTACCCGTTTTGATCGCACTTGGCGGCGCGCAAAGGGGGTAGGGGGAGGGGGGACGGCTTCTTACAGGCACCACTGCTTCTTAGAAGCCGCGGGCCTTGTCTGTAGATGTAAGGCCGGCGCCTTCTAAGAAGCAGCCTCCTTCTGAGAAGCCTTCCCCCCTCCCCCTAATTACCCCCTCTGCGCACGGCCAATGTACGTACCCACTGCGGCGTCCAAATTGCCGCCTCTTCCTCCTTCGTCTTCCCTTTTTGCGGTCCCTGCTGGGCCCGATGGCATCCCCCCCCCCACAGAAAGAGCTGGCGCGCCCTCCGGGCCCGGTGGCGCAACGCCTAGAGGGGCCTCCTCGGCTTCCACGCTGCCTGCCCTCCCGGCCGCAAGGCCACCCCTGACCGTCGGATAGCACGAGGTCTGTCCTGGTGTTATGCTGTTCCAATTGGCTTTATTCTTCGCTGCCAGCGGCGCCGCGGCAGGATCCGCTCCGAAATGCTGGCCAGGAGGTGTCCCTGGAGACGTCCAGGCCGACGTGTGAGGGGAGATGCAGGAGGAGGAGGAGGAGGAAGAAGAGGAGGAGGGAAGTCGTCCTGAAGAGAAGGGCTTATGAGGTTCTGCTGTATGGTTATAGATCCCTCCTGGGGGCCTCTGAGGGTCTTGGGGTTCCTCTTGGGCGCGACGGTTCTAGAACGCTCTTGAGAAGAGGTTTGAGTGAACCATCTTGAGGGTGGTTGGGCGGGTGTTGGGGCCGTCCCGAGTCCCTCGTGGGGTGATCTTTGGCCATCTTGATAGGGTTCCGGGCCGTCGCGGGCGGTCTTGGCGATCCCTCGGAGCCGTCCGCGACCGCCTCGGGAGCTTCCTCGGGCTCTCTGAAGTTCTCTTTGGGCGATCTGAGACGGAAAAAACTATCGAAATCATATCGAAAACCAAATCCGAAGTTTGTGCCGTTGTTCTTGGGCTATGCGGGCCTGTGGTGGCCTCTTTGGGGTATACCGTAAGGGCTTCGCCCCATGCCGCCGGCCCCCTGTCTCGGATAATGGGAGATGCAAAAGCTAAATCATGAGGTCTGGGCGCCGCCGTGAAGCAGTGTCGGGACCTGTTTATTTTTTCAAACCCTACGGATCTGCGTGAGGTGTGCCGCCGAATTTCACAAATGTAGCAAATCCCCTGTGTTTTTGGACCCTGTCCCTACAGATCTGCGTGAGGGGTGCCGCCGAATTTCAGAAATGTGGCAAATCCCTTGTGTTTTTGGACCCTGTCCCTACGGATCTGCGTGAGGGGTGCCGCCGAATTTCAGAAATGTGGCAAATCCCATGTGTTTTTGGACCCTGACCCTGCCGATCTGCGTGAGGGGTGCCGCCAAATTTGAGAGATGTGGCAAATCCAATGTTTTTCTTTACCCTGACCCTGCCGATCTGCGTGGAGGGTGCCGCCGAATTTCAGAAATGTGGCAAATCCCATATGTTTTTTTGGACCCTGACCCCGCCGATCTGCGTAAGGGGTGCCACCGAATTTGAGAAATGTTGCAAATCCCATGTGTTTTTGGACCCTGACCCTGCCGATCTGAGTGAGGGGTGCCGCCAAATTTCAGATATGTGGCATATCGAATGTTTTTGCGCACCCTGACCCCGCCGATCAACGTGAGGGGTGCCACCGAATTTCAGCAATGTGGCAAATCCAATGTGCTTTTGGACCCTGACCCCGCCGATCTGCGTGAGGGGTGACACCGAATGTCAGAAATGTGGCAAATCCCATGTGTTTTTGGACCCTGACCCCGCCGATCTGCTTGAGGGGTGCCACCGAATGTCAGGAATGAGGCGCATCCCCTGTGTTTTTGGACCCTGACCCTGCCGATCTGAGTGAGGGGTGCCACCGAATGTCATAGATGTGGCAAATCCCATTTGTTTTTGGACCCTGACCCCGCCGATCTGCGTGAGGGGTATTTTTTACCCACCCAGCAATTCAGACAATACGATTTCTCCGTGGTAGAATCCCGTTTTGGGCCTCCCCCCCTCGCGCGGTCCATCAACAAGGAACAGTATGCAGCAAAAAGTCAACAAGGAACAGTAAGCAGCAAGAAGCAGACTTGTAACAGTGGAACCTGGAAGCTGCAACTGGTACAGGAAGCTGCGAACCTTAGGCCTACAGCCTGGTGGCCCCACAAGGGGGCCGGCGGATTTCGGTGCCTGTGCTTGGGTCGGTCCACTGGCATCCTGCACCAATTCTGAACGGTGTACGGCCATCTCGGAGCCGCGTGCAGGCTAAACAAGGGGGCCAGAGAGCGCATAATCGGGGAAGGCGGTCGTTTCGGTACGCGCGCGACCAGGGGGGAATTCCTTCCCTTCCCCTCCCCCGTCTTCCCAAGGGCTACAGCTCATAATTTCGAATCATCACGCACTACCAATGTGGTCAGGCTGGCGGCAGTCACGTCGCGCTTGCTGAGAGGTTGTCCGCACGTGGTCAAGCTCGGTCGCCCATCCATCCTGCTACGGAGCCATTGTTTGGTAAGTGAGTTGGTCCTCTGTCAGCAGCGTGAGTGCGCAAATGCAGCTCTCAAGCGCTCTCACACCCCACCATCGTGTAGGCTCGGCGGCAGATACTCCCCCTCTGGAGGAGTCGGGGGGGGCGGAAGGGTAGACGGCGCTGGGGTTGCTCATGTGGACAGGGGACTGGGAAAGATGGGGGAGGAGGAGAGGAAGGAGGAGGAGGAGGAGGAGGAGGAGGAGGAGGAGGAGGAGGGTGCGGAAGAAAAGGAGGGGGAGGAGGAAGAGGCGGAGGGATGGGGTGGACCGAGAAGGAACGATTTGGAGCAAGGAGGAGCGAGGAGGGGCGAGGGGAAGGAGGAGGAGGAGGTGGAGGAGGAGGAGCGGACAGGGGCGCGCACCGGTGCAGAGGCAGGAGCCGAGAGGTGCGGTGGGAGCCAGGGAAGGTATGAAGGCAGGGAAGAGGGGGAAAGGTTTGGAATGGGGGTCCCTGACATATTCGCGCCGTGACGTAATCACGACTGTAGGTTTTTGGTTGGGTGTCTCGGGCCCCTTGGGGCCCTCTGCTGGGGCCCATGGCTGATAACAAAATGCTCAGGATGAGAAGCCGGCCCCGGGGAAGGGGTTCAGACCTCAATGGGTTCAGACCACGACGCCGGATGTCTGGGACTGAAGGGAGGACCACGGCTGGTTCGGGACTGGCTCGGCCGAAGTATCCTGCCGCAGGATCCGGCCGCGCCGTGCGGTCCTCATCATGTGGCAGCGCTTTTTCTGCGATTTCGTACCTGTGGGGGCCGCCAGCTGACCGACTTCGAGCATGAAAAAGGACCACCGAGTTCACGAGCCACAACTGGGGGAAGGGCGGTGAGGGTATGGGTGATGATGGAGGGGGAAGGTGAGGAGGTATGCTGAGACATGCGGATGAGGAGGACGAGGAGGCGGATGAGGAGAAGGAGGAGGAGGAGGAGGAGGATGGTTACGATGACAAGGAGCACGATGATCAGCAGCCGCACTAGCAGCACTACCAGCCAGCACTGGAGTAGGCTCCAGAAAATGCATCAGTGCCAGAGTCAGTAGCAGCAGCGAAAGAGGGACGGAGGCGAAGTCAGAGCAGTAGGAGGAAGAGGGAGGAGGAGGTGTATTCGATTGGGATTCGACATTCCACACATGATGGCATCTATGGGCTCAGGTTAGGTGGTCAGGTGTCATCGGCACCTCTGCTATGCCAGGACTTTTCTAGCTGCAGGATCGTGCTGCATCGCTGCTGGTGACGCTGGGCCTTCACTCCGCGCAAACCTTGCGTGCAAGCCAGCGCCCCCCGCACACGGGCGGATCCAAGCACGAGAGTCAATGGCATGGCTCGTTTGTCTTTCCCCTCGGCCTGCAACAGCGCTGCGGCTGATGATCGCCCTGCCCGCGCCCTCGCCGCTGCCCGAGCACTCTTGAGCCTTCTTCGCACGAGCTGATCCCTGCGCTGTAGCTGACCGTTTGCTCCGCGCGTCCTCTAGCTGAGCGCGTGCTGTAGCTGCCGCCGCTGCCCATGTTCTTGCGCTCGTGGTCCTTTGCTTGCTGCCACGGACCATTTGCGCACGCGCTGCAGAGAGAGCCGTCCGGCTCCGGCTTCGCCTCCGGGAGCATGCGCGTTGCCGCCGCTGCACTCACGCGCGTGAGTGTGCACTGCTGCAGTGCTGACAGCTTCTTACCAGAGCGTCTAGCTTCTGGCACGCCTTTTGCCCTTTGGGCCAGCGAAGTTGGACGTCGTCTCCTTCTCGCCGTCTCGGCTTGGCACGGCACCAACGACACCAGCACTCAGCTCAACGACGTCGGCGCCAGCACTGAGAACATTGCTGACAACGGCACCAGATCACACGGCCCAAACGACGGAGAAACCGACGCTGGGTCCGATTTTGCGTTGTACGGAGAAGTACCTCCACCGATCTGGCGCTTGCCAAACAAGCACAAGTCGACAAGTGGGCGGACTTGCATTTCAAGCGTTGATGGGCGTTCGCATCACGCGTCGCCAAGCACGATCACAACGGATGGACACGACTGAGCGCGTATTGGTAAGTCAGCTTGCACGACCTGCGCCCAGCGTTTCGCAGATATGGAGAAAAGAAAAGCTTGGGACAACGACATATGGATTTGTGTCTGCTTACAGCGGATGGGGCCGACAACAACGTTTAATGGTTGGAAGTGGCCCAGAACGTACAACGGAGGTACAATAGAGGATGATCTTTCCTGAAGCACGTGTGATTCTTCGTCCACTCTGGCTACAACGCGTGAGGCCTCCGACGCTCTGGCGCCCCCGCATGGCTCTTGCAGGACCGTGTCCGTTGGGAGGTTGACCGGCGCCTTTCCCCGCCTCGCCTCCAGCCTCCGGTATTAGTGTTAAGTCGGGCCTGTCCCTCTACAGGGGGGATATTCAAAAATAGTCAATTATCCCAGTGCGACCCTACCTAGGAGTTGGAGCCCCTAGGAAAGCAGCATTAGTAGTAACAGTAAAGCTAAGCTAAAGCTAAGCTGAAGCTAGGCTAAAGCTAAGCTAAGGCTAAGCTAACTCTAAGCTAAAGCTAAGCTAACACTAAGCTAAAGCTAAGCTCAAGCTAAGCTAGAGCTAAGCTAAAGCTAAGCTAAGGCTAAGCTAACACTAAGCTAACACTAAGCTAAAGCTAAGCTAAAGCTAAGCTAAAGCTAAGCTAACGCTAAGCTGAAGCTACGCGAAAGCTAAGCTAAAGCTAAGCTAAAGCTAAGTTAAAGCTAAGCTAAAGCTAAGCTAAAGCTAAGCTACAGCTAAATTGTAGCTAAGTTAAAGCTAAGCTAAATCTAAGCTAAAGCTAAGCTAACACTAAGCTAAAGCTAAGCTAACACTAAGCTAAAGCTAAGCTAACACTAAGCTGAATCTAAGCTAAAGCTAAGCTAAAGCTAAGCTAACACTAAGCTGAAGCTAAGCTGAAGCTAAGCTAACGCTAAGCTAACGCTAAGCTAAAGCTAAGCTAAGGCTAAGCTAACACTAAGCTACAGCTAAGCTAAAGCTAAGCTGAAGCTAAGCTAAAGCTAAGCTAAATCTAAGCTAAAGCTAAGCTAACACTAAGCTAAAACTAAGCTAACGCTAAGCTAAAGCTAAGCTAACGCTAAGCTAACTCTAAGCTAAAGCTAAGCTAACGCTAAGCTAAAGCTAAAGCTAAAGCTAAGCTAAAGCTAAAGCTAAGGCTAAAGCTCCCTGGGGACTGGGGGAACCGTGGGGCGGGGAATGGGGGAACCGCCCGGGGCGGTTTCCATTGCCCCGCCCTTTAAGCTAAGAGAGTAAGAACCCTTCTAGGCAGAGCGTAGGTAGAGAAAAAATAGTTTAGGGACTATTTGGTAGGTATTGTTTGACCATTTTGGATTTTGCTTTGAGGATTTTTATGGATCGTCGAAAATCCCCCTGTAGGGGGATACGCCCGACTTAATATTAGTGCAGATAGAATATGGGCGCGGACGAAGTGCGCGTACAGGCTCCATCTGATCAAGATGGTGCTGATGGTGTGAAGAGCGACGGTGACGATCGCGGTGGCGACCATGTATGGTGGAGGTGATGGTTGTCGTGATTGTGACAGTGCTTTCAGTACGGTAGCAGTGACGTTGGTCGTAGTATGGATAGTTCGGGGGTGGACAGACCTCCTACCTTGACACGTCGATTAGATCGCGAGAGGGCGTCGCGGCCGTCATTTTTGCGGGTCCAGGTCCGCCAGTTTCGGTCCCAGGCCGTTTTCACTAAAAGGAGGTTTATGAAAGAGAGGTTTGTCCACCGCCGAATCGTGCATTCGATGACGAAACATATGGCGACACGATGATGACGACGCAGGAGGGAGTAGATAGGGCGAGACTGATAGTGATGATGACGACAATGATACTGACGCAGCTGAGTATGATGATGCGAAGTCTGCTAATGATGCATACCGTTTGTAAGTGTGTTTTTGCCAGTCCTGATCATGATAACGACCACGATGATGTTTCTGATGCTGATGCTGATGCTGATGGTTATGATGATGACGATGCTGATGCTGCTGATGATGATGATGGTAGTTATGATTTATAAGCGTGATGATGATGATAAGCGTGCTGAGGTTGATGTAAGTATTGTGCTACTGACGTTGACGATGCTGCTTAAGATGGCACGTATGTTGCTGCTGCTGATGATGTGGATGCTGTGAATTATGATACCCCAGCTGGTATAATGATGATGGTGATGCTGAGGATGCAGATGAGAATTCTGAGGATGATGATGCTGCTGATGATGCTGATGGTGGTGATGGTGATTCACAGCATGCTAACCATCATGAGGATCGTGACGATCCTGATTCCGATGACAATGATGCTGGTCATGATAGTGATGAATCCGATGTTGCTGTTGATGATGATGATGATGATGCTTACAATGATAATACTGATAATGATGGTGGTGATGATGATGCGAATGATGATGATGCTAATGATGATGATGTTGATGATGCTGCTTCTGATGATGACGATGATGATGCTGCTGATGATGATGATGATGGTTATGATGATGCTTATGATGATGATGATGATGATGATGATGATGCTGCTGATGATGATGATGATGATGATCATGATGGTTATGATGATGCTGATGATGATGATGATGATGCTGATGATGATGATGATGATGATGATGATGATGATGATGAGGATGAGGATGAGGAGGAGGAGGAGGAGGAAGAAGAAGAAGATGGGGGAGGAGTGGGACCCACGTGGGAGACCCCCCCCAAACGCGACCCCCGCGCGCCCGAGCTACCGCCCCTCCCCCCGACGCAGCACGGCCTACGCTTCGAGCTGCGTGGGCACTCCAGCGTACATGTCCCCCGAGTTGATGAGGACCGCGGCCAGTCGCCTCGCCTTACCAGGGCAAGGATAGGGTTCAAGGAGTTCGAGGTTCGAGTTTTCGGGCGTCTTCGTCGTTTCTTGGCGGCCTCTCAGCAACGGGATGCGTTTCAGCGGCTGCACCTCACCGAGAGCGATTCGGGGGTGCCAGGATCGTCCCGAACGGCTGTCGGAGACCCGAGTTATGACACGAAAACCAGACGACGAGGATCATCGGCGGGGACAGGCTCGGGGGGGATGCATCGACCCCAACTCGCCCACGGATAGCCGATAGGGGCCCGATAGCCCCACGCCGCCCAGGAACGTTCGGATCCGCTATCAGCTGCCTGTCGCCGATTCATCGGCGATGTGTCGCCGTATCCATGTATCGTCGGTACATCGCAGATCGAACCACCGATCTATGTATCCATGTATCGCTCTTCATGTATTGCGATGTATCCGTAGATCGCCGGTACCGCGCCGATCTAGGTCGGCGAGTCGGCGACAGGGCTGGACCTAAACGCTGTTTTGCCGGACTTCGGCTGTGTTTTGTGTTTCGTTTTGGCAGGGAGGTACAGGAAAACAGGCAGAGCAAAACTAACAACACAACGAACACACAACGAAACGCAACGTTTAGGTCCAGCCGTGATCGGCGATTTGCCGCCGATATATCGTCGATCTATGGGCGATGTATCGACGATGCATCATCGATTTCTCCCCCCCCTCCCCCCTTCCTGTGCCAGGCCCTTCCGCTGTCGTTGCCCCGCAGCCTCGCGGTGGGCCCCTTTATGTGGCGCTCCTCCTTCGCCAGGGCTCGAGCTGCACTTACGTCAGGCGTGTCCCTCTACAGGAGGCATATTCAAAAATAGTAAAAAATGATGGGGACGATTCTTCTACCAGTTTTGATTATGCTTGATAATTTGTTTGAGTACTTTTTATATTTCCTCCCAAATCCGCCTGTAGGATGACATGCCCGACCTAACGCTACACGGTGTGGTAGCGATTCCGTGGACGGCGCTCCCGTTCCGATTTCGCGTCGCGGCAGAGGCAGAACAAAGACAGCACGGGGGGGTAACGCAAGCAGCACGAGCACGAAAAGGTTGCTTGGCTCGAGCCCTGTCATGCGCTGCGGAGGGAGCGGGCCTTTGAGGGAAACCCGCCCCGAGCTCCTGAAAGGCGTCCCAGGAGCACCGTGGCAAAATCACTTGGACGTGCAGGGGAAGACGGAAGACGAACATCCAGAACACATGGAAACTATGGGCAATCCTCGGATCTGCGCCTTTTTGTCTGTGTGCCCCTGGGCCCCTTCGTTCTCGTGCTCTTCTGGAGTAGCGCACTACCTACCAGTCCGAAGGTCCCAAGGTCCCAGACCCCGCTAACCTCGGGTCCCATGGTCTTTGATGTTCCAGAGCGCCCCCCACTGGGAACTGACAGGCCCAGCGGCGACTTCGGGCTGAGCGGGGGTGTTTTGGGAGGGAGTCCGTAGCAGTCGTCATCCAGGCCCCCACTCCACCACACTGGAAGTAGCGTAAAGCAATACCGAGGCCCCTCTCCGGGCCCTTAGACCGTCAACTATCGACTCGGGACGAATGATTGGTCTTGGGGGGAGGCCCTTGTCATAGAGAGCAAAGTAACCTCTAACATGATAACACCCTGAAGACGTAGCCTCACGTGTGTCGCCGTTCTTGCATCATTGGTCATCAGTCTATGTGTGTGTTGCGTTGATACATCTGCAGACGAGACCTTCTACACCTGAAGTTTTGGATCCCCCCTAACTAAGTTCCGCTCCCAATTGATTTGCGGTGCCTCAGCTGCTAACCGCTCTGGTCCAGGGCCTGCTTCCCTCAGGGCCCATTTTCGGCGGCGAGCCCGGTGGGGAAGTGAGAAGGAGCGGGTCGTGTCAGAAAGCTCGGAAGCCCCCTGGCCTTCCGAGAAATTTTCTAAGCCTTCCTCGAAGGCGAAGAAATTCTTCACGCTTCGCGTATCCCCACCAGCCCATCTCCAAACAGCAACTCTTGCGAAGCATGCCGACAGTCGTGTTTTTCAGGCGTGTTTCCGCCTGCCCCCGCATATCTCCCCTGTTCCTCCTTCCTCCCGCCTCCTTGTACATCCTCCTTGTGGTGGGAGCGGGAGAAGGACGAGGCGGAGGAGGAGGGAGAGAAAGCGCTCCTCGTGGTTTGAGTCGTTTGGGGTTTCTCGTCCTGGTGTGAGTCGTTCGGGCCCTTCTTCCTGGTGTGAGTCGTTCGGGCTCTTCGTGGTGTGAGTCGTTCGGGCTCTTCGTCCTGGTGTGAGTCGTTCGGGCTTCTCGTGGTGTGAGTTGTTCGGGCCCCTCGTCCTGGTGTGAGTCGTTCGGGCCCCTCCTCCTGGTGTGACTCGTTCGGGCTCCTCGTGGTGTGAGTCGTTCGGGGCCCTCGTCGTGGTGTGAGTCGTTCGGGCTCCTCGTGGTGTGAGTCGTTCGGGCGCCTCGTCCTGGTGTGAGTCGTTCGGGCCCCTCCTTCTGGTGTGAGTCGTTCGGGCTCTTCGTGGTGTGAGTCGTTCGGGCCCCTCGTCCTGGTGTGAGTCGTTCGGGCTCCTCGTGGCGTGAGGCGTTCGGGCACCTCGTCCTGGTGCAAGTCGTTCGGGCCTTGGGGGGAGCCTCTTGGGTGCCTTGGGGGAGCCTCTTCGGGCCTCTTGGGAGCCTCTTGGAGGCCGTTTGGGGCGTCTTGGGGGCCTCTTGGCGGCCCCAAGGGCTTCCAGGAGCGTCTTGGGTGCCTCGGGGGAGCCTCTTGGGGCCTCTTGGGGGCCTCTTGGGGGCATCTTGGGGGCCTCTTGGAGGCCTCTTGGGGCCTCTTGGGGCTCTTTGGGAGGGGTCTGGGAGGCATCTTGGGGCCATCTTTCGGGCGATCGATCACAGCTGGGGCGAGCATTTTTGTCAGTACCCCCGTCGGGGCCACGATCCTCGTGAGGGGTGTCGAATTTTAGCCCTCCCAGGGATAGAAAAAGGACCCTCTGACCACCCGCGAACCCCCCTCTCCAGGTCCAGGGGGAGGGGGTAGGGGGAGGGGTAAACCCCTCCCCGAAGGGGAAGAAGGGGTTGAGAACAGAGAGAGAGCTCGCTAAACCACTCACGCCCAAAGGGCTGGTGGGACTTCTCAGAGGGCGCGAGGGCGTCTGAGAAGTCTACTCAGATTAGACTTCGCCATCCCTGGGGAGCCGCGATCTGCGAAACCATCGCAAGCTTCGAGGGCTGCTGGGGGGGGGGGCAGCACATTGGGGTCATTCCCAGATTCACATATGACCTCGCCACCCCTGGGGGGCTTCGATCTGCGAGGCGGCCGCCGCTTTCGAGGGCTGCTGGGGGGCCAGCATATGTGGGGGCCCTACCCAGACTCACATTAGACCTCGCCGCCCCTGGGGGGCTGCGATCTTCGAAATTGTCGCTACTTTCGAGGACTGCTGGCGGGGCCAGCACAGTGGGGCCGTAGCCAGGCTCATATTAGACGTCGCCACCCGGAGTGGCTGCCCTGGGATGCTGCGATCTGCGAAACTATCGCCACGTTCGAGGTCTGTTTGGGGGGCCAGCATAGTTTGTCGCCACTTTCGAGGGTTGTTGGGCACCCCTTCTGATTTTTCAAGCTCCCCATCCGCCTTCTCTCCATTAGTCCTTGTCGTTATTCCTTTTCCCTTCTCTCCGGCCCAGCAAACTAGCAAATCATCTCCATCGAGCCCTTGTTCATCGATCTGTGTCTTGCGAGTCGCCCAGGTCGCGAGTCCCCCAAGTGACGGTCGCAGAAAATAGGCTTCTTCGCAACGGGATCATCCCCGTTGATTTTAAGTGTACCAAGCTATTTTGGCCACGCGTTGCGCAAGGGTGTGGTACATCGTCAGGATCATTTGCTGAGGCGGCGACGGCGTCCCCGCCATACCCTGGTGGGCACGGAGCCGCTGTTAAACGCAGCCGTCCAGCTCTTGCGCCGAACATCGCTGGAGATCGCCAAAGACCACCAGGTCACCTCCGAAGACCGTCAGACGACCGCAGGAAAATGCCCAATACCGCCGACTGCCACCGAAGACCAGCGGAAGACTGCCGAAGGCCGCCGAAGACGCCCGGGACAGATGGGTAACAATGGATTCAAGGTCGAATGCGTAGCTTACAGGTGCGCGCACGGCTTCGGCGCTCGTCGTCGGTGCCCTCCCTTCCTTCCATTACTCCTACCAGCCTCCGGCACCCGCACGACTCCGAGCGCGGAGTCTGAGCACGGCCGATTCGAGCTTTGCGCCCCGCCCTCGCACCCCCCATGAGCAGCGGTGGGAGGAACGAGCGGTACGACTATCACGTCGACATGTGGGCAATGGGCTGCGTCGTGTTCGAGCTCAGCACCCTGACGCTGCCCTTCAAGGCCAGGGGGGGAGGAGTTTCGATGCATGGTGCCTCTTTCATGGGGGCCTCTAGGAGAGGGGTACCTCCGTCGCCACGGCGGGATCCGCCTTCAAATCTGGGTCAGAACGCGGCCCAGCAGAGGAGATCGACGCGCCGCAGACGACTTCGAAGAGCGAGCGACTGCGGCCCTGGAGAAAGAGTGATAGGAAGAAGGCGTTGACGGCGTAAGAGAGTATGATTGCGAACTTGGATGCCAGGGACGGAGGGTGCGGTGGAACATGTGTTTGAGGAGAGCTAGGAGGATGACTATGACGACGAGGCCCATGACGATGACCAACAGGTGACGCCTTGAAACAGGAGAAACCGAAGGAGGAGGAGGACGACAACAACGTGTTGTACGAGGACCTTGAGTGGAATAATTGGGGCAGTCGAGAAAGAGGAGGCAGGGCGGAGGAGGAGGAGGAGGAGGAAGAGGAGGAGGTGCAGGAAGCCGACCACCAGCGACATCAGAGGTCCAATGCTCCGACTTGTTCGATGCATGTGCCGCTGGACCTATCGACCTCTCAGGGCAGCCTACGATCCGATTCGATGCGATTCGATTCGCCGGCTGGGGCCGCGATTCCAATTCGATGCGATCTGGCTCTATTCACCAGCGTCGGCCAGTGATATGATCGCGGCGATTTGATACCGATCCGATTCGGGACGATTCGCTGGCGAATCCATCCTATCTCGATCCGATCCGAATTCGCGATCCGATCCTGCGCAGACCTGCCTCCTCCCCAGGGCAGCTGCTTCATCCCGAGTCCTCCTGTGGCGGCCCTCGGGGCCCGGAGCCGGCGCCCTCGAGGCCGGTGCGGCTCCGGCTCCGCGCCCGTGTGGCCCGACTCGAGACGGTTCAGGCGGGCACGTCCCTCCACAGGAGGAAGAAGTCAAAACATAGTATTGGGGGTACGGTATGTCTAACATGTCTGGCTGTGTCTGATCACGTTTGATGCTTTCCATGTTCGTCCAACATCCGCCTGTAGGAGAAGGTGCCCGGCCTAACGATACAGGTTCCGTTCCGATCCGATGTTCCGAGTCCGTGTTGTCTGCTCCTGCCCAGTCCCCCAGCATCAGTGTTCACAGCGTCAACACCCAGAGGTCTCGGCCCATGCCCTGGGCTCGGTCTTTTCCTTTCTGTGACGGTGCTCCGAAGCCAGGCGAGGACCCGCAGCTGCTCCAGACTGCGGAAAGCTGCGTCTGGATTCGGTTCTGTGGTGCTGTACAAGGGCAGTAGAAGAGGCCCACGTGGGGGGGGGAATGGGAGCTCGTGCTGGCCTGGTGCTAGGAATCCGTAGGACTTAGTCGGGCCTGTCCCTCTCCCTCTACAGGAGGAACATTCGCAAACAGTAGAACAAATCAGGGGACGAGTTTTGTTTTTACTATCTGTGACCTTTTTGGAGTGTTTTTGCAGTATGCTTTATTTGTCGTCCAAGACTGGCTGTAGGAGGACATGCCCGACCTAATGCTAGGAATCCGTAGGAGTATCCAGCGCAGTGTTTTTCGTTGGCTGATGCCCCCTGCTCCGCGACTCGCGCCCCTTCGCCTTTGCTGCTGTCACTGGGCAGCCTTGCTCTGGGGCAAAGTGGGAACCCCTGCCAAGAGACGCACCGCTTGCCTTCGGGGCTCCCTGGGTTTCTTGCGTTTCGATGGCTTTGCGATGGAACGCGTGACGCCAGTGGACGTCATGGGGTCTCAGGATTGGGTTTCTTGGGGCTCGATGCTTTTGGGTTGGAAAGCGCAACGCTCCCACACGAACAATCCATGGACGTCCTAGGGTCTTAGGGCTGGGTTTTCTTGTGGAAGGTCTCTTGTGGTCGAGCTCCTACTGTAGGGAGCTTTGCTCCAGTGTGTGTGTGTGTGTTTTCAGTACGCCGCCCCGGCTCTCGACGCGGAACTCTTCCACGTCGGAGCGCCTTCCCCTCCCTCTCCCCCCGCGCGGCCGCCCTCCTCCTCCTCCTCCTCCCCCCCCCGCCTCTGACCTCGACGGCCAATCGGCCCCTCGGTTGCCCCGAGGTGCCACGCGCTGGGGCGGACTGCCCCCCCCGCCTCGCCGCCGACGGCAAGCGTGCGTGTGCTCCGCGCGGCGGAGGCCGAGGGGGAGGAGGAGGAGGAGGAGGAGGAGGAGGAGGAGGAGGAGGAGGAGGAGGAGGAGGAGGAGGAGGAGGAGGAGGAGGAGGAGGAGGAGGAGGAGGAGGGAGGAGGAGGAGGAGGAGGAGGAGGAGGAGGAGGAGGAGGAGGAGGAGGAGGAGGAGGGAGGAGGAGGAGGGAGGAGGAGGAGGAGGAGAGGAGAGGAGGAGGAGGAGGAGGAGGAGGAGGAGGAGGAGGAGGAGGAGGGAGGAGGAGGAGGAGGAGGAGGAGGAGGAGGAGGAGGAGGAGGAGGGGGAGGAGGAGGAGGAGGAGGAGGAGGAGGAGGAGGAGGAGGAGGAGGAGGGGGAGGAGGAGGAGGAGGAGGAGGAGGAGGAGGAGGAGGAGGAGCCCCCAGAGGGGCGGCCACGGGCGGAGCGGAGCGCGAGAGTGCTCGCGGAAGCCAGCCGCCGGGGAGGCCTCCTCGCTCCTGGAGCTGGCCTGCCAGGCCCGCCGGGGGCCGCTCCGCGCCGCGGGGAGGGAGGCTCTGCGGAGCGAGGCAGAGGCACCGGGCGTCCCCGGGGGCGAGAGTGCCTCGGAAAATCGGGCGTGTCCCTCTGCAGGAGGAGTGTTCGAACGCAGTGAGAGAAGCATTTGCTTCTGATCTGATTTGGCCACTTCCTCTTTTCCCTCCAGGCTCCGCCTGTTGCTCCTCTTCGGTGGCGAAGCGTCTGAGCCTGGTCTACCCTCTCCATGCCGTCTCTGGCGTCGATGAGCGTCGAGTAGCTTTTGGCAGTCGACGAGACAGCGCCGACTTAGTGTCGATGTTGCGTCGATGAGCGTCGGTTTTAGCGTCGCTTAGCGTCGAGGCGGAGGCACCAGGCATCGTTGGGACGAGAGTGCTTCGAAATCGGGCATGTCTCTCTACAGGAGGAAGGGAATGCTCAAACATAGTCAGGTACATGTTTTTGCATATGTGTGTGGCCCATGTGTTTTGGTCCCTCCAACATCCGCCTCTAGGAGAGCATGCCCGACTTAAGACGAGGGTACGTTTCCCAGCGGGGCCGTCGCCAGAAGAGCTGGGCCATCTTGCGAAGAATAATAACGGCATAAACATAAACTGTTGGCGCTCAGCGCGGATTTCTTGGATCCGCGCCGGGCCCCCCCTGTCGGCGCCTCCGGCGCCGCCCCTGGCGCGCTGCGCGCGCCGGGGAGGGGGTCCAGCGCAGATCCAAGAAATCCGCGTGGAGCGCCAACCGTTTATGTTTGTGCAGTCTAAGCCTTACTCCAGGAGTGAGCCATCTCGGAGCATCATGGACCATCTCGCAGAACACGAGTACGAACGACGCCAAAGCAATGCATGGGGAATGGACGTCCGAGCGATGGAAAGAGCGTAACCGCACGAGTCCGCGCGGGTGCTACCGAGCGCGTGGCGCGAGCGCGGCTGTGGACGAGCTGGCGAGCGAGCAGTGGCACGCCGCCTCCCGAGCGGCTGTTCCAGCCTTCGGAGGCCTTGGGCGGGGCGGCCAGGCGCGCACAGCAGTTTGCCCGTGTGGCGCGTGGTGTGCCCCGCACATCACCACCCACCAAACCACCCCAACCCAACCCGAAGGCTCAGATTTACCCTCGATTTCTAGTGGGGGGGGGTCCGGGAACATCGAAAAAACACATATGGAGCCCATACCCCCCCCAACCCGAAATTCGGGTCTTCGGGTTGGGTTGGGGTGGTCTGGTAGGTAGTCACACATGCCTGCCACGCTTGTGGCAGCGTCGGGGACCGGCCGCCCGTGTTGAGGAGCAGCGCCCCGTCTGAGGGGCAGGATGCGCGGGCCCGGAGTGGCCTGCTGTCGACCGGCTTTTGCTGGCAGAGCGCAGGCACCGGGAGCCTCGAGGCGGGGGTCAGTGCAGACGGGGGTCAGCCAGGGCGCCGGATCCTGCAGGATCCTGCGAAGAGCCCCTCTGGCTGACCCGGGTTTGGGAGCCGCTCGTGGCCGCGAGGCGGCCGCACATCTTGGTTGGCCCGGGTTTGCGAAGACCTGCGTTGCAGTTTTTTTTTTTTTTCTCCTGCGTTGCAGTTTTTGGTTTCCTGCTGACCCGGGTCTGGATTGACCCGGGTCAGACGATCCCCGAAGGTATCGGAGGTTAGGGGGTCGGAACGGAAGTGACCCCCACCAGGACATTGGTTTCGGTTCGTGTCGTGCGTGCGGGCGAGGTGAAGCTGCGCGAGTTCCGTCCTCAGTAGAGGCCATGTATTGCCAAAAGGGCTGCCCCCCGATCGCCGGGGGTGGCCCCCGGTTATCCCGGCGGTTGTCCCGATGGTTGTGGTTGTCCCGATGGTTGTCCCGATGGTTGTCCCGATGGATGTCCCGATTGTCCCGATTGTCCCGATGGTCGATCCATAGATAGATATATAGAACTTGTTAGATGTTGTCCCAATGGTTGTCCCGATGGTTGTTGATATATTTATAGATATATCTTTATATATGTATATACACATATAGATTGAGATAAAGGTTGTCTACATTTAGAGAGGGATAGGCAGCTAAATATGTGCATTGGTTGATTTTTTGATTGGTAAACTGGTAGCCTGACATCCATAGATGGATGTAGATATATAGATGGTTGCATTGCATCGATGATCAGATAGGTAGGCCGATATATAGATGGGCAGATGTGCGCGGCAATCGGAAAGTTGAAGAAACCGCCAAAGAACCCAGATACATCTTAAATTGACCGCCTCCCCCTTCCCCCCCAAAACCTCCTTATCACCTGTAGGGTGGTCCTTTGGGTTTGCCAGTGTGGCATCATGAGGAGAAGCACGAGGATCAAAAGGGGGGTGGGTGATGATGTTGCTACTGCCGCTGATGATGGTTGATGGTGGTGATGATGCTGATGATGCTGATGATGTTGATGCTGATAATGCTGCTGATAATGAGGTTGATGATGCTGCCGATGATTTTCAGGATGTAAATGAGAATGACGACGTCGACGACGACGACGATGATGATGATGATGATGATGATGATGATGATGATGATGATGATGATGATGATGATGATGATGGTGATGATGATGATGGTGGTGAGGGTGAAGATGTCGATGGCGAGGGGAATGATGATGATGATGAGGAGGAGGAGGAGGAGGAGGGAGAGCAGGACGAGGGTGGACCACGAAATGTAGACTTGTTTGCCACTTGCTAGACTGGAAGATCAATTGCGCAACAGGGTTGAGGTCACGGGTGCCCGCACGGTACGATCGTCGGGTCTCTTATGCTTCACCACCTTTCCCCCCTCGGTGCCCATGGCGCATCATGCTTCCTAGTCGATCCTTGCATCCTCTTGTTCGCCTTGCTCCAGAGAAGGTTGACCTTAGTCATTGAGCAACCAGGGTCTCGGATTCAGGTCCCGCAGTAAGTTCGGCGAGGCGGTGCTGCTACTGGGCGGAAAGCACGAAACGGGGGGGGGGGGAGATACAGGCCGACCTTCTGATGAGGGGGATGGGAGGAGAATGTGCTGCACAAACCAGGACACGGACTATGCAGCTGAGAAGTGGACGTATGACGATGAGGGTTGAGGGCATGGGGTGATGATGTTGATGCTGATGCTGCTGATGCTGCTGATGCTGATGATCATGCTGCTGATGATGACTGATGATGATGATGATGGTTGTCATGATTAGGGTGGAGATGTTGTCGATGACGACGACGATTCGGAAGCTGAGGATGTTCATCATGCTTATGGTGATCACGCTTACGATAAGGAAGGTGGTATTGATGACGATGATCATGACGATTGATGACCATGAGTATGACGACGAGGTAAGGATGATGACAATTCTGCTGATGATGCTTTCGATGACGAAGGCGGTACTGATCATGCTGATGGTGCTAATGATGATGACAATGAATTATGATGATGTTGCTGATGAGGATAATGTTGCTGATGAGGATAATGATGCTGATGAACATGAGGATGCTGCCGCTACTACAGCTGACGGTGATTGCGATGATACTGATGAGTACGATGGCGATGCTGATCCCGCTGTTGATACATATATATATAGATATGATTATGTTGTTGATGATGATGCTGCTGATGAAGAGGATGATGCTGCTGATGACTATGATTATATGATGATGGCGATGATGATGATGCTGCTGCTGCTGATGATGATGATGATGGGGATGGGGGCTAATGATGCTAATGTTGATGCTGATGATGCTGCTGATGATGATGATGAGGATGCTGCTGCTGATGATGATGATGATGAGGAGGAGGAGGAGGAGGAGGCGGAGGAGGAGAAGGCGGAGGAGGCGGAGGACCATGATGGTGGTGCTAGTTCAAGTGGCGGTGATACTGACTCTGGTCAAGCTGATGACCGGGAGAAGGGGGGAGGGACTCGGAACACGTGAACGTGATGAAGGTGAGGCCGAGGGTGCAGCAGGGAGGGAGGACTGGTCACGGGCGAGGAGAGAGGGAGGAAGGTGGGGGAGACGAATGGACGACGAGGTGGAGCGACGAGTGGCGACGTGGAGGAGGTCGGAGGGGTGCAGAGTTGGAGAATAGCAGGAGGCAGAGCAGGACGGCGACGTGAAGGCGGATGGGGACGGCGTCGACGACAAGCAGAGTGGAACACCTGCGCCGGCAAGCGGCGGCGAGGTGATCGAGAGGCCCCCGGAGTGGCAGCTGTGGCAGCACCACTCGGAGGACTCGCCCGCCAGGGAGCGGTTCGCAGGTGCCGAATTGGACTTGTGAGGAGCAGAGTCAGGGACAAGGTGAGTCGAAGAAGAAAACAGCGCCGTAAACATATTTTTTTGGCGCTCCGCGCGGCTTTCTTGGATCCGCGCTGGGCCCTCCCGGGCGGCGCCTTTGGCGCCGCCGCTGGCGCGCTCCGCGCGCCAGGGAGGCGGGCAGCGAGAAATCCGCCCGGTGCGTCGAAAGTTTATGTTTTTGCTGTTTTTTGTTCCTCGATCGACCTCCAATTGCTCATTCATCGCCGGTTGGGGATCGATAGACCGCCCTGGCCCAGGGCCGGGATGCTTCGTTATCGGGGGCCTGTCGCCGACCTATCGGCGAGGTGCTGGATTCCAGGTCGACGTCTCCCCCCTGGGCCAGTCCCCCTCCCTAGCGCTCCCCCTCATCAGGTGCCGTCTGGACCAGGGAGGGGGAGGGACGGGGGAAGAGTTGTGGGAGCTTCGAGGAGCCAGGGTGCTGGGCGTTTTGCGCCGCGTTTGGTCATCCAGCGTCACCAGAGTTCTGATGTTCCAGCCGGCTTTCGCCTTGACCGCCAGAAAGAATTTCGAGCACCAGGAAAGTACCGAAACTTGGGGGTTTCACGTGTCGGGCCCTGGGAGGCGATACTCGTTCGACACTGTTTTGATACTTTTCGGGGCGCTCGAAATTATTTCTTGGATGTGGCTCTTCAGTACGATGGGAGCAGCATAACACCAGAGCTGGATCCGAATCGGAATGATAGTCAGGACGCACCCCTGGAGAGGTCCGTGGATGAAGGGGGAGGGAGAAAGCCGTAGGAGAGCAGTGGAGAGGCAGGCTGAGAGGGGAGGGGGGGAGTGGGGCGCTGAAGGTGTCTTTGGCTCTCCTCTGCTTCGCCGTCTCATCCTCGCCACCACTTGATGAAGGGCGAGGAAGGGCGGGGGCCTTTGGACCCCTTAACCGCCGAAGACGGCCGACGGTTTCAGAAAACGTGTATAAGATTCGCGCACGTGGGAAAGTTTTGCACAAGGAGCCCCTAGCATGTGAAACCATTGCGTATATGCTTATAGTTTGTATTGACGACGCATGCGGCGACTCGTCAACGCCCCTTGCCTTTTAGGATACGCCTATGTGACCAAACGTTTGGGCAAAGCTTGGGCGTGCTACTGGACCATGCGTTTCCCCAGCCGTTGTGGAAACCTTTCGGGTAACACTTGGGGAAAGGAGGAGGAGGAGGAGGAGGAGGAGGAGGAGGAGGAGGAGGAGGAGGAGGAGGAGGAGAGGGAGGACAAATGAGGGAGAGGAGAAGGAGGAGGAGGAGGTGATGGACTCTTGGGAGCCACTTGAGGACTCTTTGGGCCTCCTGGAAGCTCCCTGGGGGCCTCCTGGAGGCCTCTTTGGGGCCTCCTTGGGCCTCTTGGGAGCCTTTTTGGGCTCTTGGGAGCCCCTTTGACAGTCTTTGGACGTTCCTGGCACCCGAGGCGCCGTCGGAAGGGCTTCCTCGGGGGTATCTTGGGGCCCTCTCGGGGGTGTTTAAGGGCCGTCTTGGAGGTTACCTTGGGCGTCTAGGAGGCCTCTTGGTCCGACTTGCGGCCCGTTTGGGGCTGCCTTGGGAGCCTCTTGGGCCGTCCTGGGGCGATCTTGGAGGCCTCTTGGGCGATCTTGGTGCAATCTGGGGAGCCTCTGGGGCCGTCGGAAGGCCGACCATATAATTGGTATCCTCATCATGGCAACAAGCTCAAGCAACAGTTAGATGTCTGAAGTGATCCAGTGCTTTGTTGTAATTTTGTTGTTTAGGTCCCTGTTCGGCAGAATACGTAGCCATGCTAAGCAATAAGCAAGTTCCAAACAACTTCGAACGCGTAAGGGAAATCATGGACTTTGGCTTTTTCGGGCCCTCCTTGAGGACGATCTAGGATTGTGACGTCTTCGAGGCCATCTGGAACCATCTTGGTCGACTTTGGAGATCATCTTGTGGAATCTTGGAGTCATCTGGAGCGGCAACACCCTTGCCAACCACCCCGCACGGAGCTTTCTGGGTGGTTGGCGGCATCGGCGGCAGCCTCAGGGGGAGCTTTCAAGCGAACCAAAAACCATCGGACGTTTAGCACGCTGGGCACTCCTGTGATAAATCAACAGGGGGCGACGGATATCGAATGGTCGTCGGCCACTCCCGCCACCGTACCTGAGTTGTGGGTCCAAGGCCTCTGGGAGGTTCGTTGGGATGTCGCAAAAGGCCTCTCGGGGGGCGGGGGCTCTGGGGGGGGGCCTTTGGAGTAGACTTAGGAGTTGTTTTGGGGCTTCTGGAGCCGTTTTGGGAGCCTCTTGGAGGTCTCTTGGGGCCTGTTGAGGGCCGCTTGGCGCCTCCTTGGGGTCTCCTGGGATCCTCTTGGGGTGGAATGTTCGGATTTTCAGTTCGTGCTCCCCCTCTTGTGCCCTTTGGAGCTGTCCTGGGCGCCCCTGGGGCCGTCTTGGAGCCCTCTTGGGCCGCCTTGGGGTGGTCTTGGAGGCTTCTTGGGCCGCGTCGAAGCCTGAGGACACTCCAACTCGTGCCTCGAGGGCGCGGTGGCGAACATGCTGTATGTATGTATGTATGTATGTATGCATGCATGCATGCATGCATGCATGTATGCATGCATGCATGCATGTATGTATGTATGTATGGATGTATGTAAGGATGAATGTACGCATGCATGCATATATGCATGTTTGTTTGTATGTATGTATGCATGCATGTATGTATGTATGGATGTATGCATGTTTACATGTATGCATGTATGGTTGTATGTGTTATGCATGTAGTTACGTGCGTATGCATGTATGTATGCGCGGATGTATGTATATATGCATGTATGATTGCATGTGTATGTGTATGTATGTATGCATGCATGTAGGTATGTATGCATGCATGCATGCATGCATGTATGCATGCGTCCCGGACATACCCCAACAATGCCCCAAAAAGGCAAGAATATACCCCCAAAATAGTCCCCAGACTATTTCTGGCTATTTTGATATGTTTTCTGGGGTATGTTTTATTTCTCGTCGAAAATCCCCCTGTAGGGGGACAGGCCCGACTTAAATCTAGACCTCTCCCTGGGGGCCGCCTCTTCATCCCGAGGAGCCTTGCCACGGTCTCCGAGGCCCCAGCGAGGGCCCTCGGAGGCCGAACGCCGCCAGAATTTGTCAGTCGCTGTGCGTTTTTTCTCGACGCGAGGAGTCAGGAGGGAAACAACACACAGGCACAATGAATCGTCGACTCCCAGGAAAATATGGGAAAATATGGGAGATGGGGGGAGGAAGACAAAAACCCAGAAGATATGGGAAACTATGGGGAATCTTTTTATGTGTGTGTATTTTTTTTGTGTGTCCCAGGGCCCCTTCATACTCCCAACTCCCTCCTCCTCGGGCGGGACGGAACGGCACGACAGGGAAAATCGGGGGGGGGGTTCGAAAGTTGCTGCATGCGATCGGTCTCCGCCCCGCCGCCAGGGGCCCCCTCCTCGGGGCGGGAGCGCCTCTGGGCGCCGGCGGGCGCCAGGAGCACCGGCTCTGCATGAGCTGATTGTCTCTGCCCTGCCCTTTGCTATCCTGATGGAGGATGACGATTAATGAATGTCAGGAGGGAAAAAAACACACACACACAATTAATCGTCCATCCCCAGGAAAATATGGGAAAATATTGGAAGTGGGGGGGAAGACAGAAACCCAGAACATATGGGGAAATGTGTGTGTATTTATTTGTGTTTCCTGGGGCCCCTTCCCTTTGCTATCCGAATGGAGGATGACGATTAATGAATGACCGGGGGTCGTGTTCGCGCGGCGGCGCCCGGGATGACGATTAGAAAAAACCGGCCGCGGGCTGGAAAACTATCTTTTTATCGTTCTCCTCCAGTCACAAGATTGTGCAGACATAGCAGAAAGTTATGTTTTTAATAGTTCTCTCCCATGTTTTAATTCATCGTCATCCCGCATTACCCTTTCGTGCCCCCCCGAGAGTCGAGGCTCGGTAAGTACAGGTGTGCGAGGGGCCCTCTCCGATCCAGGCCTTTGGGCGAGGCGGGCCCGCGCCCGCGCGCGCCGAGGAGCTCCGCTCGGTCGCCGAGCGGCTGCTCGACAAGGACCCCCTCGCCAGGCCCACGGCGCCCCAGGCGCCTCCGGTCGGCGGTCGAGCCTCGGCGTGGCGGCGTGGTCGGCGGCGCCGTGGTCGCCCCCGGGCGGCCGTCGACGGTCGCTGCCGACGACGAGTGACGACGACAGAGGTCGACAGCGGTCGACGACGACGACGACGGCGGCGACGGGAACAACGACGACGACGGCGACGTCGACGACAATGGTCGACAGTGGTCGACGGCGACGTCGGCGACGATTGATGGCGACGGCGGTCGACGGCGGTCGACGGCGTCGGCGGTCGACGTCGGCCGAGGCGGGCGGCGCGGCGGTGCGCCGCCCCCGAGCTTGGCCGCCGAGAGGTGCTGTTGGAGCCGCTGTTCGCGCCGGGCGGGCGGGGCGCCCAGGAGCCCCCCGAGGCGCCTTCAGCGCCGTGGCCGCCGCCGCTGCGGTCGCCGTCGTCCACAGCCGTCGAGGGTTCTAGTTTCAGGTCGGGCCCGTCCCTCCACAGGAGGACTATCCAAAAACAGTCAAAGCATTGTCTGGGGACGATTTTATGATTTTTCCTCCAAGCTCCCCCTGTAGGGGGACATGCCCGACTTAATCATAGGTCGCCGACGGCGGGTGGAGAGGCGACCGTCGTCGGCGATCGTCGTCGCCGCTGGCCATCCTCGTTGTCGTCGTCGAGAGCCGCGGATCAAGCGCGCTGGTCGAGCGCAGCGGGATCTGGCCCTGGAAATACCGCGGCTCCCCTTGCGCCTCATCGATGTTACCGTCGTCGAGGATTGAGGCTTGAGATTCCTGGGCGGTTTTGGCCGCCCTCGTCCGAGGCGGGGATTTATCCATAACCACCTCTGGGGGGACCGATCTTCCAGACCTCGGCAGGCGGTGGATATGGATCTATTCAGGCCCCCCTAGGGCCCAGATGCAACTGGTTCTCATTCAGCGATGTATTAGGCACAGCGTGGACCCCTAGCAGTAGGGTCTTGCAGTCTATGCGATACAATCTATGTGGTGCAACGTATGCGATGCAACCTAAGTAATGCAGTCTATGCGGTGCAATCTTTGCGGAGCAAACTATGCGGTGCAGTATACGTGGTGCAACCTGTGTAATGCAATCTACGCGGTGCAATATATGTGGTGCAGGATACGCGGTGCAACCTATGCAATGCAGTCTACGCGGTGTAACCCACGTGGTGCAATTTACGCGGTGCAACCTATGTAATGCAATCTTTGCGGTGCAATATACGTAGTGCAATCTATGTGGTGCAATCTACGCGGTGCAATCTACGCGGTGCAATCTATGCGGTGCAATTCATTTTGACTGCCTTGAAGCTGCCCCTCTCCACTGCTCGTGCAAACATCCCACCCTCCCACCCGCAAATTGGTCGCAAGACCTCCAAAGATCCCGACGGTAGGTGACACATGGCACTTGGCAGCGACACCGACGCCGACAACGACAGCGACAACGACGCCGACGACGACTACGACGACACCGTTTTCGACGACGACGACGACTTCGACGACGACGGCAACGACGACAATGACGACGACGACGACACCGACGACGTCACCGACGACGACCAGCCCCCCGCGACCGTCCCCCCCCCATGGGGCCCCAGGTGGCTCATAGCGGGGGGGGGGGAAGAAGCACGCGGACTCGACGCCTCGGCGGAGCCCCTGGAGAACACGGAAAAACACGGGAGGCTGTGGGAAGGGGGGGGGCGGGGAAGACGAAAGGCCAGAACCCGCGGGAACATGTGGGGGCTCCTGGGGCTCCTGTCTGTCTCTCTGTGCCTCCCGCGCCCGGTTCCCGGGCCCGCCGCCCGGGCGGAGCGCCGCTCGACGTCGGCCGCCTCTCCGGCCAATTGGGACCTCCCCGATGCCTGGCCCATGGCTCGCGGCCCTTTCGGCCCAGCCCTGTGGCGAGGAGCCCTTGGTTTTCGTCGTCGTCGTCGTCGTCCACCTCCCTTGCCATCTCGGACCTCCCCGAGGTCCTGACCCATGGCACCGAGCTCGTTCGGTCTGGCCCTGTGGCGAGGAGCCCCATACTTCTCGTCGTTTTCGTTGTCGTCGTCTTCGTCGTCAGTCTACTCCCTGGCCATTCGTACCTCCGTGACCCCTTTGCACCTGGCCCCCACGTTTCTCATGTCACTCGCCGCCCCCTCGTGCAAGAGCCAGGCCATGCCTGTCGCTAGTGTTCTGCTGGGCCCTCGGCGCCTGACGCTGTTGTGGGGCTTCTAGAGAGCCTCGAGCTCCGACGGGGGTCCAGGGAGTCCTGAGCAGTCCAGGGGGTCCAGGAGGCCCACGGAGTTCGTGGAGAGCGTGAAGTCTAGGAAGTCCGGGGTGTATTGGTTCTCGTGGCGCCCTCGCACCTGGCGGCGTGAGGCTTCTAGGGGGCTCGGGGGTCCAGAGAGTTTGCGGCCTCCAGAGAGTTCAGGGACGCCAGATGCGACTCTGCAGATTGTGTTCTCCTCGGGGCCCTCGCGCCTGACGGCGCGGGGCTCGGAAGACCGCTGTCCCACACCCCCTCTTCCTACAGTCAACCCGCATATTTAACGATGGGCAACCTTTCCAAGGGTACCCGTCCTTGCCATTTCGGCCCGTCCCGAGCGACTTTCGCTGGCCAATCTCGCTCGGAAAACGTTAGCCTGGCCTTCCAAGGACCTTGCATTCTCACCGCGCATCCTTCTGATACGGGTTGACTGTACCTCAACCTCCTGATCCTCCCTTCCCAGACATCCGATGTCTTGAGTTGTCCCGCGCGGGGTCCCCGGAGGTCTGGACCCTCTCTCATGGCCCGCTCTTTCTTCTGACAGTCTTGGGGCCCACCAGGGGCCCCCTAAGGCCCAAAAGAGGGGAGAAACTCCGCATCGAGTTTCTCGAGACCTTGGTCGGCGGCCAGCCTGGTTGGGAAGTGGGAGGGCCTCCTAGATGGTGTCGGGGTAGATGGCGTCGGAGGATTGCGGCGCATCGCCGATGCATCGGCGATGCTGCGCGATGCGGAGTCCGAAGTCCTCAAAGGCGACATCCCGACGTCGCCGAGGTATTGCCGATGCATCGCCGATGCATCGGCGATGCGGAGCGATCCTCCGACCCCATCTACTCGGACTCCGTGAGAACCCTTCACAAGGCTGGAGTATCTCTCAGGTTCTCTGAGAAGCCCCGCCGCCTCCTGAGAAGGCCTCCTCCTTCTCACTTCCCCCCATTCGCTCGCCGCCGAGTGGGGCGTCGGGGTTTCGCCCTCCACGTCCAGTCTCCCCAGCCCCTCGACGCCATGCATTTTTCATGACGTGGGCCCCCGGCGGTGTGTACCCATTTCCCGGAACCGGTTTTTCCTCCCGAGTCGCTTCTTGACGGCCCCGAGGGCCAGTGCGGACCCCTAGAGGCCGAAAATAGTGAAAACTCCCCCTCGGGATTTTTGGGCGAGGCTGAGCAGCAACGAGCGGCAACCGCGCATTTGAAAACCGCCAAACCGAGCACCGCCAAACTTCTCCTCCTCCTCCTCCTCCTGCGGTATGCGGCGGTGGCCCGTGCTCGCTTCCTCGCGCCCTCCGCGCGCGATAGGCGGCCTGGGCCTGCGTGGAGCCCCGCGGGCCAGACAAGCACCGGAGCCCAGACAAGAGGCGCCCCCTCGCGCGCGCAGGGAGGGGGGCAGGATCGGACGGGGGATGAATCCGGACCTCCCCTCCCTCCTCCTCCTGCTCTTCCTCCTCTTCTTTCTCCTCCTCCTCCTCCTCCTCCTCCTCCTCCTCCTCCTCCTCCTCCTTGGGGAGGGGTGTTGTGTGAAGGGGTGTGGTGTGCCACTGCTGGGTCTGGCGATGTGACCATCGGCCTGGGCCTGCGTGGAGCCCGGACAAGAAGAGCCCCCGCGCGCGAAGGCAGGGGGATAGGACCTGACGGGTGATGCAGGACGAGGAGGCGGAGGAGGAGGAGGAGATGGAGGAGGGGGAGGAGGAGGAGGAGGAGGAGGAGGAGGAGGAGGAGGAGGAGGAGGAGGAGGAGAGGAGGAGGAGGGAGGAGGAGGAGGCGGAGGATGGGGAGGAGGAGGAGGAGGAGGAGGAGGAGGAGGAGGAGGAGGAGGAGTGGAGGAGGAGGAGGAGGAGAGGGGGAGGAGGGGGAGGAGGGGGAGGAGGAGGACATGAGGAGGAGGAGGAGGAGGAGGAGGAGGAGAGGAGGAGGAGGAGGAGGAGGAGGAGGAGGAGGGGGAGGAGGGGGAGGAGAGGGAGGAGGAGGAGGAGGAGGAGGAAGGGAGGAGGAGGAGGAGGAGAGGGAGGAGGGAGAAGGAGGAGGCGGAGGAGGCGGAGGCGGAGCGGAGGCGAGGAGGCGGAGGAGGAGGAGGAGGATGAGGAGGAGTAGGAGGAGGAGGAGGAGGCGGAGGAGGAGGAGGAGGGAGGAGGAGGAGGAGGGGAGGAGGCGGGAGGAGGAGGAGGCGGAGGAGGAGGAGGAGGAGGAGGAGGAGGAGGAGGAGGAGGAGGAGGAGGAGGAGGAGGAGGCGGAGGGCGGGAGGCGGAGGAAGGAGGGGGGAGGCGGAGGCGAGGCGGAGGCGAGGCGGCGGCGGAGCGAGGCGGAGGCGGAGGGAGGCGGAGCGCGGAGGCGGAGGCGGAGGCGGAGGCGGAGGGAGCGAGGAGGAGCGAGGCGGAGGCGGAGGCGAGGCGGAGGAGGGAGGAGGAGGAGGAGGAGGAGGAGGAGGAGGAGGAGGAGGAGGAGGAGGAGAGGAGGAGGAGAGGAGGAGGGAGGGGAGGGAGGGGGAGGGGAGGGGTGAGGAGGAGGAGGAGGAGGAGGAAGGATGAGGAGGAGGAGGAGGGGGAGGGAGGAGGGAGGAGGGGGAGGAGGAGGTGGAGGAGCTGCGATCGGTCGGGGAGGCAGGATCGGGCGGCGGATGACTGGAGGTTGAGAAGGGGGGTAGCGTAAAGGGGTGTCATGCGATCCTGCAATTTTTTCGGGCTGTCGTTTTCGACCTTTCTCGGGCCCCTGGACTCCCAGATCGATCCGGCTGGAAATGGCGAAGGAAGATAAGAACTAGGGCTCCAGGCGTGGGACAGGACCGAACGGGGGATGATTGTGGAGGTTGGGAAGGGGTGTGGTGCAAAGTGCGGGCAAGCTTCGTCTCCATTTCGAGTGCGTGTTGGGTTTTCTCTTGGAACGAGCGCCACAAGGCCAAGGCGCACCGGATAGGGGTGAAGGTCGAGCCTTTGTGAGGGCAGGTTTTTATCCATATCTAGTGCGCCTCTGGTTCCTGGGGAATGGCGTCCGAAATTCCGAGCTGCAGCGGATATGGACAGGAGTATCGCCCGCATACAGGGGTGTGGTGCCACTGCTGAGTCCAGCGATGCGATCATCGGCGGCACCATCGCAATTATCCACGACTGGCACCCCACCCCTTTGCGCCGAACCCCTTTTCGACCTTCGAACGTGAGGCGTTCACGCAGCCTCGTCTCTATCCGTGGGGTGTAGAGTGACCGGGGCCGTGCCCAAAGATCTGCAAACAGTGCGACCGAAACTGGCGCCCGAATTGTTCCGAACGCGCCAGAGTGTAAGCGTAATTCTTGAGGCGAACTTGAGCGATTTTCGCTTCTGGTCCAGAATTCGGTCACACTGTGTTTTCGGTGACACTTTCGGGCACGGCTTCGGCCACCCAGTATTTTGCGGCCACGCGCACCTCTTCGGCTGACGGGGGCCGGGCGCCACGAAAGCTTCAGGCTGCAGCCCCCGAGTACTCCCAGCTGGCCTCAATGGCCCCTCCGAGTAGCCTTGGGCGGCCTCAACACCCCAGCACCGCCTCCGGGTTGATGCGTTGCGACCGCCCCGGACTACTGGGGGGCTTGAATAAGGAACACTTACTTTTCAAAAGGGGCTCGGCCGTTCCTTTAGTTTGCGTGCGTTGCGCTGCCTTTTTGGCGCCAGAAAGGGGCTCGGCCGCTCCTTCGGCTTTCGTGGGCTTACTTGAAAAAAGAGGGGCTCCGTTCCTCATTTCTCGTTCCTTAGGTCAGGCCGATGACTGTACTGGGGGGCCTGTGAGGCCGCCCCGGACTGCTCGGGAGGGGGGGCTGTCTGTGCGCAAAAGGGTGCCTTGCCAGGGCAGTATCGATCGGGGGGCCGCCTTTACTTGACCGCCTGTCTCGCATCTTCAACGGAAGCACGGCGGGAAGTTGATGGCAGTTTTCGTATGTCACCTCGCTAGGGCCCATGTCTTTTCGTCGCCCGCCTGTCGCTGGGCATCGTCCTCAGTTTGCCGTCCCCATTCAGGCCGTGTCAAATCCAGGACCGAGGTTTTAGGGCGGCCTGGGGTTTCGGTTTGGACCGTCCTAGGCCTCCGAAGCCCAGGAGCTTGGACCTTAAGGCGCCCCAGCACGTGTCAAGGTTCGCAATAACATATATGATATTGAGTGTGCACCGTCGATGCGTGGGATGTGTGGTGCATGCTACGTTGCATTTGTGGTTCAAGCTGCGTGTAAGGTACGTGGCGCAAGCTATGGTTTGCAAACTATGACTTGTAAGCTACGTTGTGAACGCTATGTGGTGCACGCCACGTGATGTAAGGTATGCGATTAACTGCGCACACACATATATGTATATTTGTATACGTCTTTGATCACGTATATAACGCGCACACACATGCCAACATACGTATATACAGACACTAGATCGGCGCGCGCGCGCTTCGAGCGCCCTTATGTTCTAGCCCAGACAAAGGCGTCATATCAACCAGCGGATGGGCACGCACACCATCCCACCACGATCACCACACGGGAGCACCTGCGCACTTGTGGGCATACACGGGTCGTACCCCTCAGGGATTTTCACCTACGGCCCCAGAGACAGAGTTCACATAGCGCCGCCTCCACGCCCACTTCGGCACACGCATTGCAGGGATTGCGCCCAGTACGAAGCTGAATTGACGGCCCCTGGGACAATGTTCACACAGCGGAACAAGTTCGCGAGCGGATCGCGCCCCGCAGTGAATTGCATATACAGCACCAGAGGGAGGTTTGGCACCGCTCAATTTGGCACACCTTGGGCACGGATCGTTCCCCGCAGGGGGTTCCTCCCAGGGGCCTCTGCTGGAAGACCATCGCATCGCCCATGCATTCTGGAACTCGAACGGCGTGTCTGACAGCAACACGGTCCTGCTTGCAGGTGTGAGGACGAACGATCGAGTTCTACTCGCCAGAACAGTGTCGCAGTGCCTTGCGCTACATGTGACTGCATAGGGTTTGGCCCTGGCTTGCGCTACATGCGAATCGCCGCCCCCTGCCTCTTGGAAGCGCCCGTGTGGCCGAACGTGCCGGGCTGTGTTCGCTGGCCCGTGTGGAAACCCTTTGGTTTGGGCACTCTTGGGGCCTCCTGACTCCTCCTCCTTCTCATCCTCCTTCTCCCCCTCCTTCTCCTTCTCTTCCTGCTCCTCCTCTTCCTCCTCCTCCTCCTCCTCCTCCTCCTCCTCCTCCCCCTTCTCCCTCCTCCCTTCTCCATCCTCCCTTCTCCATCCTCCATCCTCCATCCTCCCTCCTCCCTCTTCCTCCTACTCCTCCTCCTCCTCCTGCTCCTCCTCCTCTTCCTCCTCCTCCTCCTCCTCCTCCTCCTCCTCCTCCTCCTTGGGCCTCTTGGGGGCTCTTGGAGGCTTCTGGTGAGGCTGCGGGCCTGCCTGGCGCCTTCGCAGGCCGTTTCGGGGGCCTCTCCTGGGACGACGCTGGACCCTCGAGGGGCGCTCCAGAGCCGTCTTGGAGGCCATCTTGGGCGTCTCTGAGGTCTCCTGGGCCTTCTGGTGGCCGCTGGGGACCGTCTTGGGGGCCTAGGGGGCCATCTCGGAGGCCGTCGGACGGCCGAGCATGAGCAGGCGCCGAAGTCCGTTAGAGACCATGTGGGACATCACTGAGAGTATCCTCTCCGGTCCTTCCAGGAGGTCCTCTTGGAGGCCCTGTGCCGTCTTGGAGGCCTCTTGGGCCGTCGTCGGCGTTCTTGAAGCCAGCTTGGGGGTACCTCGGCTCGTCTTGGAGACATCTTCAGGCCATCTTTGGCTCTAGGGACTATCTTACCAGCCGTCATGGAGGCATCTTGGAGGCGATCAGGAGCCGTCTTGGACGTCTTGGGGACGATCTGGGCAACGGGAAACATACTTTGGGAGCCTTCCGAGCGGCCAGCGCGATTGGTCGAAGTCCCTCCAGGAACTTTCACAATAACCACAGCCCGCATAAGTCTGGCACGCCGCCGTGCACGCAAGTGTCAAGCACAGAGCGCGGCGGGTCTACTGGCCTTCGGCCCATCCAGCCACCGTGCCTGGGTTAGGGTCAGAGGCTTCTCGGATAAAGTCAACAATTCAATTGCGCTTGTCGTCGTCTGCATTGCGTGCATCGTCGCCAAAATTGCAAGATACGCGCTGATGCTAGTAGGAGACGTATTGGAATCGCAGTAGTAGTCGTAGTAGTCGCAGTGTCGGTAGTCGTAGATTGATGAGTAGTGAAGGCGAGTGAGCGAGCATAACAGTTCATGAGCATTGAAGACGCCTACGGCAAGCCACCTCCGCCCCCTCCTTTTTGAATGCGCCTGTGTAGCTCAACGTTGCGCCACGGTTCCCTCATGTTATAGGACTACGTGTTTTCCAAGCCCTTCTGGAAAACCCTGGTCCTTAAGGAGAAGGAGGAGACGGATGCTACTGCGGAGGAGGAGAAGGAGGATCCCTATTTGGGAACTCCTTGAGAGTCCTGGGGGTCTCTCTGGAGCCTTCGAAAGAGCACTATCAAGACTCAATACAGAGAGCCCGGAGATACCTCAAGGCGCTCGGTAGGGTGACCAACGATGAGCATCAGCATCAGTAGTCGTAAAGTAGTTTGTCAGTCTGATGATGAGGAGGATGGCGCTAGAGGATTTGTTATTCCTCGTGGGGACAACGGACGTTTGGAGGCAGGAAAGAAGAGAGCACATGCAGGAGACGAGGGAGGACATGGAGGAAGCATGAGCAGGCCGAGGACGACGACTCATGTGTAGCAAGAGGGGGAGGAGGGACGCAGGACGCGGGAATGGGAGCAGGAGGACGAGGGGGAGGGGTACAGACATGCTGGATGGCCCAGGCCTCGAGGAGAGAGGCACGAGGCAGGAGCACATGGGGAGCGCATCGCCAGCAGCACGCGGCGGGGGAGGGGCACGGCGCGGCCGCGGAGCGGGAGGCGGGCGCCACGGGCAGAGGACGGGTGCGCTGGCGCGGCCCCGGCGCGAGCGCCCGCGAGAGCCTCAGGCTGGTGCTCACGCAGCAGAGCGACCTGTCGACGACCCCGGGGACCAGCGAGGACGCCCTGCCGGCGAGTGCGCGCCGCGCCGCGCGCGCGCGCGCCCGGAGAGCGGCGCGCCTCTCCAGAGTGGGGGCCCGAGCATGCCATTGGGCCCCCTGCACCGCGTGGCCGTCCCTGCCTCCCGCCGCCCTTTCCTTCGAGCAGTCGCTGAGCGTCCCGGCTGGGCCGTCGGCCCACCGAAGAGTGTTCCGATGACCCTGCGCCGAACGGGTTCGGTTGGGGCCGTCTCGCCTCTTGTGTTTTGCTTGCGACAGTCCTGATGAGTCTCGTGCGGAACGGCGGCCGGGCAGCGCGTCCTCGGGCTCCCAGTACCCCCAGTGGGGCCCCATTTTTCCTTAACACCCTGTGGTGTTGGGTCCTCGTTTTGAGGAGACAGCGCCCCGCGTCTCCTTACTTCTCCTCCTCCTCCTCCCCCCCCCTTCTCTCTCCTCCCATAGCTGCCTCTGTCACCCCCACTCAGCACATTGCTTCGTGGCCCCATAGAGAAGGTCCCAGTGGCGGTGTCCACATTCGTCTCCCCCACCCAGCACACCGATTCGTGGCGTCATGGGGAGCTCCCCCTAAGGCCCAGTGGCAGAGTCCACATGCGGCTCCCCCACCCAGCACACCGATTCGTGGCCCCCACAAAAGTTCCACCGAAGGCCCCAGTGGCGGTGTCCACATGCGGCTCCCCCACCCAGCAACGCGTTTTGTGGCCCCATAGGGAGCTCCACCTATGGCCCCAGCGGCGGTGTCTTCGTTCCACGTGCGGCTTCCCCTGTATTTTCTGTTGGGGCTTGGGATAAAAAATCCCCTGGCGCCTCATCATCCACGTCGCCGCCATCCTCCCCCCTCCCCATCATTTCATCATCATCGACGATCCATGGCCACCATCGTCAACATCCTCCTCAGCCTCCTCCTCCTCCTCCTGCTCCTCCTCCCCATCATCATCATCATCATCATCATCATCATCATCATCATCATCATCATCATCATCATCATCATCATTATCATCATCATCATCATCATCGTCGTCGTCGTCGTCGTCGACGTCGTCGTCGGCGTCATTTCATCATCATCATTCAACTTTAACCTAATCATCATACTCATCATCATCACCACAACCATGATCATGATCATGATCAGGATCATCATCATCAACATCATCATCATTATTACCATCATCATCCTTTGTATCATCATCACTCGCGTCGCCACCATCATTATCATCGCAGCCGCCGTCATCATCCTCGTCAACATCATCATCATCATCATCATCATCATCATCATCATCATCATCGTCGTAATCATCATCCTTATCATCATCACCACATCGCCATCCTTATCATCGTCATCGGCATCGTCATTATCATTATTATCATTACCTTCCTCTTCGTTTACATCGTTCAACCTTTTTACATTTCATCATCATCGCCATCAGTATTAGCACTGCCATCATCATAAACATCCCCACCATCATCATAATCATCAACATCATCAGTTTCACAATTATTCCTCATCATCACCATCATCGTCACCACCGTCACCATCACCACCGTCACCATTTCCATCGTGACCAGCATCGTCATCAGCATGCGGATCCGGTATCATGGCCACCGCCTCCCTCTCGCCCCTCCCCTCTGCCCGTCCTCTCCCTGCCTTCCCCCAGCCTGCCCGGGCACAGGCTGCTGCTGCTGCTGCTGCTGCCGCTGCTGCTGCTGCTGCTGCTGCTGCTCCCCTTCTGCCGCCTCGCTCCGCTGGAGGGGCGGGGGGGGGGCGGGGGCGGCGGGAGGCGCGGAGGGCCACTCGGCGGCGCGCCTGCAGGTGGGTCAGGGAGACGGCTATCCGTCGAGACAGCCGGTCAGGGAAGAGCGGCGGGCCCGGTGCGCGGCCCTCGGCGGGCGCCGGCCGTGCACGCACACGTTCGGCCCTGGCCGGGCCCACCCGCGGGCCAGGGGCGGGCCAGCCGGCACGTGGCAGGCCAAGCCCAGGAGGGCGCGCGTGCAGGGCCTGGGCCCAGGACCGGGGCTGTGTCGGTGCTTAAAATATCGGGGGAGCGTAATAGACCCGGGTTTGCCAGGACTCGGGTTCGCCATCGTTTTTTGACGACCGCGACTCGGATTTTGACGGGGAGGAGTGTTGTGGGATGTCTGCCGCGGGAGGCCTCGTCAAAATGCAGGCTCGGCCTCGTCATTTTTTTGACGACCTCGTCGGGGATTTCCGAGTCCCCCGTACCCGGGTCTTACGTCTCCCCGAAAATACTCGGGGGTGGACAGACCTCCTAGCCTGACACGTCGATGAAGGAATTGGCCGTTTTCGGTTCGCGAGAGGGCGTCGCGGCCGTCATTTTTGCGGGTCCAGGTCCGTCGGTTTCGGTCCCAGGCCCCTTTCACTAAGGGGAGGTCTACTAAAGGGGGGTTTGTCCACTGCCGAAATACCACAAAAAGATCAAAAAATATTTAAAAGATAGGCCCCAGACTATATTTTGAATGTTTTTTGCCTATCTTTGGGCTATCTTTTATTTTTTCGTCGAAAATCTCCCCCTGTAAGGGGACAGGCCCGACTTAAGACCAGGCGGACGAGCGGTGTCACAAACGCACAGTGAGCGGCTTGAATAAGGAAGACTTGCTTTTCAAAAGGGGCTCGGTCGTTCCTTAGGCTTGCATGTGTTATGGATCGTTCCTGATGCGTTACGTATGATTTGATCGTTCCTTGTGCGGTAGTTTTTCGAAACGAACGGGTCTTCGTTCCTTAGTTCTCGTTCCTCAGGTCAGTCCGATGACTGTATTGTTTTCGGAGATCCGCGCGGACATCCGGCAGATTCTGTCATTGCCTGGTTTCCCTGAGGGTGGGCCCGGCCAGGACCGAGGCGGGTGCATCGTCGGCGTCGCCGTGTGCCCCGCCATGTCCGGGCGCCGCGCAGCCATGGCGGTGGGCGCCGGCGGCCAGGATGACTGCTGCCTTCACGACTCTGAGGTGATGGCCATGAAGAGAGGGACCCTGAATCGAATATCGGGGTACACCTTAGGCGATGCTTAAGAAAACTTAAATTTTTGGCCAGAGTCTCGATTATTCTTAACGTTTCGACGTAAACCTGAAGATTTTAGTAGACATGTTGGGTTTTTTATTCAAGTTCTGAGACTATGAATTTCTTAACCCATGATTTCTTAAGCATTTCGCAGGGTGTACAGCACATGAGCGACAAAAGGAGCCGGGTTCGTGTGCGCCGACATTCGCGTGGGCGCCCCCGTTTCCAAGGGGTATGTGCCGCGCTGGCGGCCCGCGTGGGTCACCGCATGAGGTCGCTCTGCCATCTCGTGTGGGATCCATTTCTTCTCTCAAGAGGAAAAGAAACACACAGACACAATTAATCCTCGATTCCCCAGAAAATATGGGAAAATATGGGAAGTGGGGGGGAAGACAAAAACCCAGAAAATATGAGAAAACATGGGGGATTATTTTATTTGTGTGTATTTATTTGTGTGTTCGATGAGTATGAATCAGGATCAGAAAAAAACACAGACACAATTAATTGTCCATTCCCCAGAAAAGATAGGAAGATGTGGGCAGTGGGGGGGAAGTCAGAGACCCAGAAAATATGTGAGAATGCTTTTGTTTGTATGTATTTATTGGTGTGTCCCATGGACGATTCAATGAATCGTCGGGGCTTCGCGCGGATTTCTTGGACTGGCGCTGGGCACCCCTGGCTGCGCGTGTTCGGCGCCCCCCCTGGCGCGCGGAGCGCGCGCCCGGGAGAGGGAGGGGGTGCCCAGAACTCGGTTCATCCTACCGGCGCTTGGTACCTTTCTTTCTGTGTTGACAATCGGGGGCGGCAAAGAGGGGAGTGATGACTAGGGGGGGTGGATGTCATGGCGGGGGCCACGCTGTTTCCCCAGATTTTACGACGCCGCTTCTTGTTTCATTGCGTCCCTGGCCCCCCCGCTGGGCCGCGCACATGCCGCCGGTCATGATTTGCACCCCCCCCTCTTGGACACCTAAAACGACGCGAAGATCGGGACAAAATCGGATCGGGATAACTCGAAATCTCTGAGAATCGGCGGGTTTGGAGGATGCATTGGGCGCCGCGGCCGCTCCAGAGCGTTCCGGAACGCTCTGAGAGCGCTCCGGAACGCTCTGGAGCGATTTATCCCGATCCTAGCTCTGTTTTAACACCCCCCTCTTGGCCGCTCCCGAAACAAGGGCGCTCTCGACGGCGCGAGGGTATTTGCGCTTCTCCGTTCGGCTCCGAGTCCTCCTCGTCCTCCTCGTCTCCCCTGGGGAGCGGCGCGAGAGCGCGAAGATGCCCGCGCAGCACGAAGCGCGAAGTTATGCGCCCTGGAATCGGGAGGGAAAATCAGAGCCCCGAATCATCAGGGGTAACTCGGGTCAGGGATAACTCGGGTTCCTTTTTCGGGAATCCAAGCCCGAGTTACCCCGGACCCGAGTTACCCCGGATAACTCGGGCGCCCAGAGCCCTAGAATCATCAGGGGTAACTCGGGTCAGGGATAACTCGGGTTCCTTTTTCGGGAATCCAAGCCCGAGTTACCCTGGACCCGAGTTACCCCGGATAACTCGGGCGCCCAAGAAAAAACACACAGACACAATTAATCGTCGATCCCCAGGAACATATAGGAAAATATGGGAATTGGGCGGGAAGACAAAAACCCGGAAAATTCAGGAAAATATGGGGAAGCATTTTATTTGTGTGTATTTATTTGTGTGTCCTGGGGCCCCTTGATGGAAAAATCGCTGGGGACGTTCTATATCCGTAAGGGCTTCGCCCCCATGCTGCCAAACCCCTTTCTTAGAATGGGACTTGCCAGAGCTGTGTTGGGATGTCTGGACGCTGACGCGACGCAAGGTCGGGACTTCACGCGAAGGCCAATACTAGTTCACTAGGGTTTATGGCTTCGGTGGCGCGATTCTTTGGTAATGTACGATGGTGTATGGCTTCGGGGACGCGAGCATTGCACAATTGGGGATGGTGGTCGGGAGTGGGGACAGTGGGACAGTAGTGGGGACAGTGGGGACAGTGGGGAGAGTGGGACCGTGGTGGGGACAGTGGTGCGGACAGTGTGGACAATGGGACAGTGGTGGGGGCACTTGTCGGGACAGTGGTGGGAAAAGTGGGGACGGTGGGACACTGGTGGGGACAGTGGGGACAGTGGGGCAGTGGTGGGGACGATGGTGGTGGAGACTATGGTGAGGGGGCAGTGGGACAGTGGTGGGGACAGTGGGGACAGTGGGACAGTAGTGGTGACGGTGGTGGCGGGGACAGTCGTGAGGGCGGTGGTGCGGACGGTGGTCGGACAATGGGACAGTGGTACAGTGGGGCGAGTGGTGGGGACAGTGGGGACAGTGGGACACTGGTGGGGACAGTGGGGACAGTGGTGAAGAGAGTTGGGACAGTGGGACAGTGGTCGGGACTGGGGACAGTGCGACAGTCGTGGTAACGGTGGTGGTGGGGACAGTGGTGGGGACGTGCAGCACGAACACGACACCGAAAACAATTTGCCGTTCGGGGTTTCCGTTTCACTTCGATCTTGCCCCCCGATTTCCGATATTGATTGTAGGATCAATACATGGCATCGATGAAATATGCGACCAGTAGATATTGATACTGGTTCATCTTTCGTGATCGGGTTTTTGGGATTGGCGGATCGGTGTTGAGACCAGTAAGAGATCGGGCCAAGGAAATGCCTATTGTTTTCTTTGACGGCTGTCCTGGTTGCAAAGGCCCTCTTCGGGCCCGGTTCGGGACGATAATCGTGTCCCGCTGGAACGTCAGCGTGTCCTGATCCCATTCTCATCAGGACGCTGTCTTTCCTGCCCAGAGGTTGGTACGGCTTGTTTTTCAGTGGAGACGGTAGCTGGTGCCATGTGCCGCAAGCTGGCGGAGGAGTTGTTCGTTTCGGAGCGGCGTTTGAAAGAGATGAAGGGCAAGGACGAAGTCGGCGCGTATGGCTGGGAAGAGGTTGTTTTCGACTGGTGTCTCGTGCCTCTTTGCCTGCTGCTTGTCGTATTCCTCATCTGGTCCTGCTTGAGTCGCGTGTACGACAGGTTTGTCTCCAACAGCGAGGCCAGGCAGTCGTGGGTCGCGCTGTACACTGGCAGTTCCACCAGGACGGGGTTGAGTTGAGAGGCCAGGGCCCCTGCCCCTCGCCCTGCTCACCCCCCCCCCCAGCGCCAAGCTGCAGCACACCAAAGTGCAGGTGCAGTACGAGGAAGAGGGGGAGGACGACGGGGTGGCCGAGGAGGTGTGTCGTCCTCCTCTTCCTTCTTCCCTCCTCATCGCCCTCCTCGTTCGGCCCCCTCCTTGGTCTGCTTCCTCCTCCTCCTCCTCCCTCTTCTCCTCCTCCTACTCCCCCGGCTCGTCCTGCGCAGGACACCCCAGCACCCCAGGTTCGTTGCCGCGCTGGAGTTCATCCAGACCGTGCTCTCTCTACTGATTGCGATGCTGTTTATAGAGAACACCCTAAATCTGAGGGAGACTGCAAGTATGCTGCTGTTCCACCAGTGTTCGAGCGTGTTCCTGACATTCCACTTTTTATTTCGCGGGCTTCAGAACGAGTTCCTGCTCAGGAGCTGTTTTGACATCGAGGCGCTTGTGGACATTTTGACCATACCCGGGCTCGTGTACAAACGCCACAGTTGGCTGTCCCTGGACTACCTCCGCACTGTCTCGGCCCTGCGCGCGTACGTACGCCTCGAGAGGCTCCTGAATCTTCACCTGAGCCTCGGGCCCGTCTCGCACGGACTGCTCCACATGTTTTTGGAGCTCATGTCTCTGGTGATGTGCTTTGCTTGTTCAATATTTACGCTTGAGGTGCTGGGCGAAGTTCCTGGTATGCATGGGGCATCCCTCACGACTGGCATGGGAGAAATCACCGTGTTCAGGATGATCTATTGGAGTATGGAGACCCTGACCACGGTGGGGTATGGCGAGTACGTGCCAACAACTTTCTTGTCGAGGTTGTTGACGATGATCTGCATGATGGGAGGCCTCGTTTTTTTCGCCCAGCAGATCGGCAAGATGCAAGACATCGTCGCCAGCGTGAAGTCCGGTTTTAGAGTTTTCATGCCAGGCACGTCCCCACACTTGGTCAAGAGGAGGGAAAGAACACGTAAGCTAGGGAGCAGGCGGAGGCGAAGACGAAGGAGGATTGAGGAGGGGGAGGAGGAGAAGGAGGAGGAGCGCGAGGACGACGGCGAGCATTCGGCTGCTCTGTTGCCTAGCCAGGCGGACGCTGACCTTGGGGGGCAGCGCGTCTGGAGGCAGGCGGAAGCCTAGATCGAGTGCCGTTCTCGTTGCCCGACGACGTGGACGACGACGACCACGACCGCGACGACGACGACGACGAGGACGAGAACGACGACGACGACGACGGCGACGTCCGTTGCAGGAGGTTCCCCGTGCAGCCGTCGCGCCTGCGGCCTGGCGTGTCGGGCGGCGGGCGGGCGCTTCGGGACATGCGGGCGCTGGCAGGTCGTGCGGTGCTCACGGGTCGTCGTCGTCGTCGTCCTTCCGTCGTCGTCGTCGTCGTCGTTTCATCGGCGTCGGCGTCGTCGTCGTCGTCGTTCTGTCGTCTTCGTCTTCGTCTTCGTCGTCTTCCTCGTCGGCTGCGGTGCCCGCTAGCGGCGCGGTTGTCGCAGGCGCTGCGGTGCGCGTGAGCGGTGTGGTTCCCGCAGGGTATGACTGTGCCCACGGGCACCGTCGCGCTCACACGCACGACTGTGGGCACACACGTAGTGCGAAGCAGCGTGGGCTGGCGAGGCGAAGCTGCATTGGCTGGCGAGAGGCAAGAAGCCTCCTCTGGCTAGGGCGCCTGGGCCAATAGTCCACCCTCCACTCCCGTTCGCCCGCGGTGGCGGGGGGTGTCCCGCCGTGCCGTCCCGATGGTGTCCCGTGGTGTTCCGTGGTGTCCCGTTGTGGCCCGTTGTGGCCCGTGGTTCGGTGTTCTGTGGTGTACCGTCGGTGTCCCGTCGGCGTTCCTTAGTTTGATCGACAGTGGCATCGATAGTTAGACCGATCGTGATATCGAAGATTGATTGTGAGATGGACAACCAGACCGATAGTAAGATCGAAGATCGACTGTGAGATCTGAGGGCTTCGGTGAGATGTACTGCCAGATCGATGTGAGATCGACCTTGAGATCGATCGAGTGAGATCGATCGAATGAGATCGACAATGAGATCGATCGTGATGCCTCGTCGCTGTCCCGTTGGTGTCCAGTCGGTGTCTCGTCGGTGTCCCGTAGTGAGATCGATAGTGAGGCCTAGGTCGATAGAGAGATCGAATGAGTGATAAGTTGGTTCCTGCAGCCCGAACTTTATCACCCGAAAGGTTGTCGTATAGTTATACGTATCGAAGACGCATGCGGCGAATCACCGCCGCCCCCTGCCCTTTCGGAAGCGCCTATGTGGCCTAACGTTGTGGCCAGAGGCCTGCCAAGCTATCGGACCATGTGTTCCCCGAATCGGCTTGAGCCGTCGAAATGGCGAGAAAACACACATGCCAACATCCTTGAACCACTTAGCGAACATGAATGATTTGGGTCTCTTCGGGCCCTCCTGGAGGACCTGTTGGAGGCCTCTTTGGCCGTCTTGGGCAATATTGACGCCATCTTAGGCCGTCTTGGAGGCATCTTGGGCCGTCTTGGAGGCATCTTCGTGGGCGAAGAAATCATACCATTTGTTCCCTGAGCCGATTTGGAAAGCCTTCGGGGAACACGTGGGGGAGGAAGAGGACGAGGAGGATAATGAGGAACAATGAGAAGGGAGAGGATGTTTCTTCGGAGCCTCTTGAGGCACTCTTGGGCTCGATTGGGGCATCTTGGGATCGTCTTGGAGGCCATGTTGGGGCTATCTTGGGCTCTCTTGGGGCCTCTTGTGGACCTCGTGGGGCCCGTTTGGTCTTCTCGGGGGCCTCTTTGGCAGTCTTATGGCGTTCCTGGCCCGTCTGACGCCGTCGGGAGCCGTCTTGGGGGCCTCTGAACCGACTTGGGGTCCTCTTGGGGCGCTTCGGGGCCGTCTTGGAGGCCATCTTGGGCTTCTTGGAGGTCTCGTGGGCCGTCTTGGGGCCCCCTTGGGGCCGTCTTGGTGGCCTCTTGGACCGTCAAAGTCATGGGACCCTCTCGGAGCCCTCTTGGGCGATCTTGGGGCGATCTGGGGGGCCTCTTGGGCCGTCTTGATCCGTCGTAATGCCGAGAAGAAGCGATTGCCAAAATCCTCGTCAAAGACCTAAGGAAAATCTATGATTTTGGCCTCTTCGTTTCCTTCTGGAGAACCTCTTGGAGGCCTCTTGGGCTGTCTTGGAGGGGGCCTCTGGGTCCGTCTTGGGCCATCTTGAGGCCATCTGAGGCCGTCCTGGGTGTATCTTGGGCCGTCTTGGAGGTATCTTGGGGCCATCGTAGCCGTCTTGGAGTCCATCTTTGGCCGTCTTGGAGCCGCCTGGAGAAGGAAAAACCCTTGGCAACCGGCTCCGGGCACGCCGGGCAATCTTTCCAGGTGGCCGGCGGGACGGGCCGAAGCCTCAGGGGGAGTTCTTTCGGAAAAAGAACCAACACCACAACCGAAAGGATCTAGCACGCCAGGCCCCCTTGTGGCAAACATGTTGGAGGGGTCTTGGGCCGTTTGGGAGGCCTCTTGCGGGCTTTTTGGGCAGTCTAAGGTCATCTTCAGGCCATCTGGGGCCGTCTTGGGTGCATCTTGGGGCCATCTTCGCTGTCTTGGAGGCCTTCTTGGCCGTCCTGGAGGCATCTTGGAGGCCATCTTGGTCATCTTGGAGGCCATCTTCGGCGGCCTTCGGGGCCGTCTTGGGCTCTTCTTGGGGCCCTCTTGGGGGCCTCTTGGGCTGTCATGGGGCCATCTTTGAGGCCTCTTGGGCGCTCTTGGGACGATGCTTGGGGCCTCCTGGGCCGTCTTGGGCCGTCGGAGAGCTGATTAGAAGAAAATGCCCAAATCCTTTCAAAACCGAATGGAAATTAATGATTGTTGCCGTTTCCGGCCTTCCTGGAGGACGTCTTGGAGCGCTCTTGTGCTGTTTTGGAGGCCTCTTGCGGGCTTCTTGGGCAGTCTACGGTCATCTTCAGGCCATCTGGGCCATTTTGGGTGCATCCTGGGACCATCTTAGCCGTCTTGGAAGCCATCTTGGCCGTCTTGGAGGCATCGTGGAGGCCATCTTGGGCCATCAGGACGGTTTTGAAAGCCATCATGAGCCGTCTTGGGAGAGTTTTTGGAGAATTACGCGCCCTTCGGGACCCCTGGGGAGTTCTTTAGGAAAAGAGACAACACCAAAACCGAAAGGATCTGGCACGCCAGGCATCCCTGTGATGAATCAACAGGGGGCGGCGGATCGTCGGTCGTCGACTCCGCCACCGCCATCGTCCTCGCCGTCGACCTGGCGCGAAGAGCCCCGCTGGCCCCATCATGAGGCACTCAGTTTTTTTGTTGTAGAAACGGTCACGCCGATGCTCGAAGTTCCAGCCTCGAGAATCGATGCTCGACACTTTCTAGCATTCGGAGGGTACTTCCCGACGCCACGGCCAGAAGCGGCTCGAACGACTCTTGCGTTTGGACATTTGTGGTATGACGATTTTTCCAGATTGGATTTGGCAGAGGGGGCAATTTTTGTCGGTGCTCGTCGGATGTTGTTTGGGCTCTCGGGCATCGGGATACATGTCAGCAGCTGTGCCTCACCGAAAGTGTTCTGGGTAATTTTTGTGTGTTCGCAGACGCGGCGACGGGGCGTTCACGAGGCGGCCTCCTGAGGCTGTAGACTGATATGCTCCTGTGGTCTGCCGTGCTGGTCAGCCGTAACGGTCGACGCACGACGGACGATGGACGAAGATGACGACGACGACGACGACGACGGCGACCGAACAGAGCATTTCTGTTACGACGGTTGTTTTTTTGCTCCTGCCGGCGGTTTGGATCGGGAGGGACGGTACGACGACGACCGCGACGACGACGACCACCGTGACGACGACGACGAAGGGGACGGCTACGGCAACGACCAAGGCGACGACGAAACCGATAACGAGGGCGACGACGACGGCGACGATGACGACGACGACGACGGATGATGACGGACGATGATGATGCGAAGATTTTGTTTGCTTTTGTCTTTGGGAACGCGCGCTGTCTGGATTGGAGGAGTGTGTTTGTAGGATGTTTAAAGAAAAGGCGAGTGAGTGAGGGAAGTTTTCTTGCAGGATTGGCAAAGCGCCGATCCAGAAAACGATTCGGAGGACGTGCGCAAGGCTATCGGGACACCTTTAGCCAGGGGGCGAATACGTTCGATTCTCGTCAAGATGTGCGGTTTGTGTCAGAAGAATGCTCGCGTGGATAATCGGTTTTCGGCGACGATGTTGTCATCCGTGCCGTTTGGCACAATGCCTTCGCGGCACAAGTGTGCGATGCTGGTTTTCTGTTGGTATTTCATGTCTGTACATGGCCATGCCCAGAACGACAGTATGCTGTCGCTACATCCGTACTTGTCGGCGCTCCATGATGCCACGCACGTCACTCGGATTCGAAAGCCTACGGTTGCTCCGCCTATTTTGTCACGATTCTTGGAATCGGCTCGTAATTTGCCAGGGGGGGGTTGAACTCCCAAGAGGGAAAGTCAAGTCGACTCTGCTCGGAGGTTGTCGTGCACGCACCAAGCTTTGCAGAGCTTTCCTTCGCTGAGTGATGTTACGCGCGGGGAGGGCAACGCGAATTGCCCTGCGCTCGGCGGTTCGAGCAACTGCGCTCTCCTCTCAGGTGTCTGATACATCGCGTTGCTGCGTGCGTCGTGACCGCGGGAGGGCAGCTTATGTTAAGAAGTGCTCGCAAGAAGAGGACTCGTGACAAGTTCAATGTCGAATGCAGTGCATTTGGGGAGGTCAACGCATATCTTTAGGATGCTAAAGTAGGTTCGGCTCGAGTTGATGGGCGAGTCGTCCTCGATGCGAGATGGCGCTTTGTTGTTCGAGTTCTCGTGCTTGTTCGTCTACGAAGACGTCCTGTTACATATTCTTTTGGTAAGCGACAGTACCGCAAACATCTCCTCGTCGTGGATTCCAGAAAGTGTGCATCCGAG